TACAGAAACAACTCAAATACGCTCAGCCTCCTGATCTTTGACAAAGGAGCCAAACATTCACTAGAAGGATAGCCCCTTTAATAGTGTGGAAAACTGGCTCTCTACATGCAGAAGATTGAAACTAGATCCATGTCTATCACCATGCACTAAAGTCAAAATAGATCAAAGATTTAAATATTAAAACAGAAATCCTAAATCTACTGGAAGAGAAAGTAGGTAGAAATCTTGAAGACATAGGTGTAGATAGAGAGTTCATGAACAAAACCCAGAGTGCATGGGAAATATCTCAAAGAATCAACAACTGGGGTCTCTTCCCTGTTGGTGGCTTCTAGAAAAAAAATTTTTTAAAAAACTGGGGTCTCATTTTATTAAAAAGCTTTGGTACAGCAAAAGAAATCACCAACAGCATGAAGAGACAACCCCCAAAGTGGGAAAAAATGTTAGCCAAGTGTCCCTCAGACAAAGGACTTCTATCTAGAACATATAAAGAATTGAAAAAAATCAGACCCCCACCCCAGTTTTAAGACCCAATCCAAAAGTGGACATCTGAGATGGATACACTTTTTAGATGAAAAATACAAATGGCAAATAAATATATGAAAGAATGTTCACCATCACTGCTCACTTGAGAAATGCAAATGAAAACAACACTGAGATTCCATCTCATCCCAGAAAGAACCAATAACAATGCTGGAGGACTGTGAGGAAAAGGAGCCCTTCTCCACTGTTGGAGGGAGTGCAGACTGGTGCAGCCACTTTGGAAATCAGTGTGGACATTCCTCAAAGTAGGATTAGAGGTCCCATTCAACCCAGCTATATTCACTTTCTGGGCATCTTCCCAGAAGAATTAAAAATTTCATTGTTGGGGTTGGGGAGTTAGCTCAGTGGCTTAAGTGCCTGCCTTGCAAGTGGACAGTCATGAGTTCGATCCCTGGTACTAATAAAAAATTTTTTAAAAAATTAAAAAAAAACATCATTGTTGGAGTCAGGGGCTGCAAGGAAAACAATTACATACAGGACACAGAATTTATATTATTATTTTATGATGGTCACCCAGAGTTAAATACAAGTATAGGAAATCTGTCCATAAAGTACTTAGGAAGTCCAGCTGAGGGCCTGGATCCCACAGCAATGTCCTGCATGAGTCCATCTGAAGACTTAGTGCCCACAACAATGCCTCCCACAGGTCCAACTAGAGGCCTAGAGCCCACAACAATGACTCATGCAAGTCTGTTGTATATATCTGCACTGGAAGGCCCAAAGGTCAGTGGTAGAAGCTAGAAAGTCTATGCCAGTGGGGTGAAGGAGCTGTGCCAGTAGGTTGAGGGTTCTACACTGGAGCCGAGAAACAACACTCAGAATAAGGACCAGGACTCTCCCAAAAAAGCACCACAGCCATCCTCAGTGCTATGGATTAAGAACTGGTGGTCAACTTAATGCCAGCTGGATTGCATCAGCGTGGCACTGAGCACAGATGCTCCCTCCACCTAGGAAAGTGGAGAGGCGGAGAAGAAGGAAGGCATTAATGCGTTGTTGCCTTGAGGCATTGAGGCATTGTGGGTTTTCCTGTGAGTTGCTTTTGAGCCGCTGGTGGTCCTGTAGAAGCTCTGGTCCTCACTTCAAGCACTGCTTCCTGGCTCCGGAGCGGAAGACATGTGCTGCTTGGTCTCCAGGATGAACTCATCACGCTGGCTCCTGGCGTGTACCCGACTGTGCTTGTCAGAGGAGCTCGGGGCCTCTATGTCGCTGAGGATGGCTGTGGTGCTTTTCAGGACAGCCCTGGTCTTTGTTGTGTGACTTCTCGGCTCCAGCGTAGAACCCTCATCCCACCAGCACAGCTCCTTCACCCTGCTGACCCTTGGGTCTTCCCGGCACAGATCCGTAAAAGAGACTGGCCGTGAGTCCTTCTTGTGGGCTCTGGACCTCCAGTTGGACTCATAGGAGGCATTGTCCTGAGCTCTGGGTTTTTATCAGGACTCATGTGGGACATTGCTGTGGGATTTAGGCCCTTGACTATTCTATGACTTTGGTGTTGTGGATAGATTTCCTGCATTTTCTTGTGTTAACTCCCGGTGACCATTATAAAAATATTATAAACTCCATGATTTATAATTCTGATTCTAGTTGTTTTCCGCACAACCCCTAACTGCAACACTCAGTGACAATGAGGACCCGAGCTCTCCGATCAGAACAGTCGACTATGTGTCAGGAAGCCAGCGTGACAGCTTCCCCTGGAGATTAAACGGCACCATCTTCCCCTCCGGAGCCAGGAATCGAGGCTCCATGTAAGGAGCGGAGCTCCCCCAAAGTGAACCACGGCCACTCTCAGCGACAAGGTCTCAAGCCAATGAGAATGGCCAAGTGTGTATCAGGGAAGCTAGGCATGACAAGCTTCTCCAAGGGAACCAACAGCTTCAAATAGCAACACTTAGAGGAACCCACAATGCCTCGCTCTTCCTCTGCACGTCTCCTTTTTCGCTGGCCACTTTCCTCAGGTGGCCATCTACACTCAGCACCATGCCAGCTTAATTCAGCGGGTGTTAAGTTGGCCCCAGTTTTTAATCTGTAACAATCATTCCACAGAGATACATGTGCACCTGTATTTATAGAAACAATTTGGAATAGCGAGGACTTGAAAATATCCCAAATGCCCATCAACTGAGGATTTGATTTTTTTTTAAAGTGGTATTTTTATACAAGTGAGTACTACTCAGCCATAAAGGATAAACTTGAGACTTTTATAGGTAAATGGATACAACCGGAGACCGTACTCATAAGTGAAATAAATCAGACTCACGTGGGTAAACATCGTGTTGTCTCCCTGGTATAAGGAACTGAGAGAGTATAAGACCCAAAATGTACAATATTAGATGTTGTGAAATGTGAAACAATTGTTCAGAAGGAAAAAAGAACTAGGATGAGTGGAGGGGAAAAGAGAAACTGCGAATGAGTGATACTGTGTCTCTTTGTTCTTTAAGAAGGAATTTGTGCTAATACTGACTGGAGAAACTTTTAAGCCCGTTACCCTGGGCAACTACTTTAAAGACAACAACATGTATTAACTATTCTTTGTTATGAAATTTTGTTTTACCTTTTTTCCATAAAATCAAATTTAAAACAACACAACCAACCAAATAAAACAATGCTGGTCTGGAACCTTACCAAGCAAACAAACAAAACAACCCCTCCTATTAAAGACAGGGAGACACTGACAAAATCTGAACAGAGTCTGCAAACGTGACACCCGACCTGGTAGGTGGCCTGTGGATTACACGATGCCCTTGTTCTTAGGAAACACACCCTGAGAATTAGGTGGAAAGGGGTGAGGTTTGCATCCCACTTTCCCAGGGGTAAAGTCCAGGATTTGGTTCTCAGGCAGAAGCCTCAGTAAACAGGTCAGCTGGAGCCCGTGATCATCCCACACGCATGCACGCACAGGCAGCGCTCCAGCTCAGAGCTGCTCCTAAGGCCCCGGCGGGCAGCTGCCCTCCGCGCAGGGCTGTTACTCTACTGAGAAATGGACAGCCATGTGGCCTCCAGGCCTTGCCCTCTGCCCTGAGCTGAGAGAGGCCCAGGCGGTGCTGGGCTCCTGGGACAGCCGACCTGCTGCAGTCGGCCCCTTCCCTGTTGGCTACTGCGGCCTGGCAATGTCCAGCTTCTCGACAGACAGGGTGGGCACAGCTGAGGGTCTGTAGGCCTGCATACCAGGCCAGGCGGAGCCAGAGTCCTGAGCATAGTCCACTCGGTGCAGAGGTCACAGGTGCCATTTGGGTTTCCCCTGCTCCTCTCTGGCCCCATGCCATCGGTAGGATCCCATCCCCGACACCGGTAGGGATGGGTTAGACAGCCTCCCCCAAAGCAACCTAGCTCCCCACTCCCAGAAGCCAGCCAGCTAGAGAGGCCGTGGAGCCTTCTGTCACCCTCTGCTCACTGCTCCTGGGCTCACAGGAACCCCTCGTGACTCATGATGTGAAACTGTCATGTCTCCAAGTGGGGTGGACACCCTTACCTTTCACTGGCATTTGGGCGGGGGCTAGGGCGGGGACTGGCAGACTGGCAGTCTGGCCAGGAGACCTTGAGGGGGTATGAGCTAGGACCAAGACCTTCCACATGCTCCCTGGAGCCAGGACACCTCTGTAAGGTGCCAGGCTGCCGCCTGGCTGCAAAAGCAAGGAGGGACACGGTTGCCAGAGCTTCAGGGCCCCTCCTTAGCAAGGAAAGACGTCCCTGCCCCTGCCACTGGCCTGCACACCCCACCCGAGGGTGCCCACGGCTGGGAGCAATCAGAAGCTAAATTGGCACGAGGAAGCTTGGCCCTGCTCAGACACCGCCTCTCGCTGGCTCCTGGGTCCAAGGCCAAGGTCAGGAGCCTGAGGCTGCAGCCTGCAATCGGTGCAGGCAGCTGGCACTGCATCCTCGTGCCGCAGCAGCTCCAGGTCGCTCCATGTCCCCACACACTGGCCTCACAGACCACGGGTCTCTTCCCTCCAGAGACCTATGGCAGTACCAGCGCTGGCGGTTTCCTCCTGCTTTCCAGGGACGTCCCCGCTCCTCTGAACGCTGCTGTTTTCTGGCCAGCTGCTTCACTCAAGGCCTCAGCCCAAAGCCAGCTCCACCTGGGCTCAGGCCCTGGGCAAGTCCCCTGCCCCGCTGCTCAGGACCAGCGCCTGCATCATTCAAACATTAAACCAGAGGCGGTGCTGCACGCCTGTTCTCACAGCACTCCAGGAGGCTGAAGCAGGAGGATGGAAAGGAGACCAGCCTGAACGACTTACCAAGATCCTGTCTCAAAAACTGAGAAAGGGCCGAGGGTGTAGTCCAGTACAAAGGCCTTGGGGTTAGCCCCCCAGGACTGCACCCCCACACACACACAGCCTCGGCCTCTGAAGCTGCTGTCTTGGGCTGCCCTGCCTCCTCTGCCCCAGCCTTTCGGCCAGGGTGCCCCCCTCCTCCCACACACAGTGTGCCAGCAAGGCCTGTGGGGAAAGATCCAGCCAGGGTCGAGACAGGTGCGCTTTATTACAAGTAGCTTCCACCAGAGACTGCAGACCACACACCGCACCCATCTGTCCTGCGCAGGGCAGCCCCAGGACCAGGAGCACGCACTTCCCGAGACTGGCACCCCAAGCCCCACCCGCTCACCCTTCTAAGTCTTGACCTGGGCAAAGGGCCAGGGCAGGAAGGCACACCTGTAAAAGTGAGGCCCTCTGGCTGGTGTGCAAAGAGGTAGCAGAGCCCAGCATTCGTGCTGAAGATGGCGGAGGTCCTGTCACAGGTCGCGGGGGCTCGCCTTGCCTGCCAAGCCTCCCTCTTGCACAGTGCAATCTGGGTGGCAGGAGGCCAGAGGGCAGGAGACCCCTCTAGCCAGTGTGCAGGGCAGGCACCAGGCTGGGCCTGGCCTGAGGGTACCAGGGCGACAGGTCTGTGCCCAAAGGTTTGGCAGTCACCAGGGTTAAGGCCACGCGGCTCCACCCCTTTCCCACAGTCCCAGGCTGGCAGGGGCGGCTGTACCCTCAGAGGGGCTCAGCTCCGGTAGCTCCGGAGCACGTGCCCGGCAATCACCAGCCTCTGGATCTCGCTGGTGCCCTCGTAGATCTCGGTGATGCGGGCATCACGGTAGTGCCGTTCCGCTGGCATCTCTGTCACATAGCCCATGCCGCCCAGGATCTGAATAGCCTAAAACGGAAAGCAGGGCCTCAGGACGCAGAAGACCCCCCACACACAGGAGGAAACACTGGGCAGAGTCAGCCAAGCACAGCCCCAGTCAGGGCAGGGGCAGCATCCGTGCAGGGCAGATGCTCACCTGGTGGCTGATGGCAGTCGCAGCCTCTGACGCAGCGAGCTTGGCCATGGCCGACTCCTAACCAGCAGAGATGGCAGTCAGCAGCTTCACTTCAGGAGGCCCCAGCTCCTGCCCCCCAGCAGAGGTGGGCCTGTGGGGGCCTCACCCAGACATGGTAAACACAAGCCCATCTCTGCCCACCCCAACACCCCCAAAAGGCCCCTTCACACCCCCACAGCTCTCAGGGGGCCCTCCCTCGTGGCACCTTAGTGAAAGGTTTCTTGTTGTCCTTCAGCATGGCCGCACGCCACGTCAGCAGCCGGGCACTCTCCAGGGCCACAGCCATGTCCGCCAGCTTGAACTGCAACAGATGGGCCCCACCATCAGCAGGTGCCCACCCCCAAACCCCAGGGCAGGTCAGACAGCGAGGGCCCCGCAGGGCGATAGCCAAGCTTCCCTCCCTGTACCCAGGCCAGCTGCTGACATCGCCATGGTTACCTGGATGCCTTGGAGCTTCGTGAGGGGTGCCCCGAAGGCCTTGCGGTTCTCAGCGTAGTTCACAGCGCAATCCAGGGCAGCCTGGGCAATGCCCAGGGCCTGGGAGGCGATGCCAATGCGGCCCATGTCCAAGGTTTGCTGTGGGGAGCACTGGGTCAGTGGCTGTAGGCTGGGACCCAGGGCCTGGCCCCAGGGTGCTGCCCCTGCCAGGCTCACCATGGCTATCTTGAAGCCCATCCCTGGTTCCCCCAGCAGGTTCTCCTTGGGGATGCGACAGTCTTCAAAGATGAGGCTGGCTGTGGACGAGGCCCGGATGCCCAGCTTGTCCTCTTTCTTCCCCAGCGTGAGCCCAGGTGTTGGCATGGGAACCAGGAAGGCACTGATGCCCTGAACGCCCCAAGATGCACAGTGACTTTCTCAGCGGCTACCCCACCCTGACACCAACAGTCCAGGAGCAGGCTCCAAGGCCAGGCCAGGCCACCCTGCTGGCTTCGGGGATGGTGCAGAAAGCAGGGGAGGATCAGGCCCAAGTCACCAGGGCAGGAACAGCTCAGCAGGGAGGTTCCCCTACAAACCAGCAGTCAGCCTGGCCTCCCCCAGTGGGGCCCACCTTGTTCTTCAGGGATCTGTCTACGCTGGCAAAGACCACGGTGGCTGAGGCCTCCCAGGCATTGGTGATCCAGGCTTTGGTGCCATTCAGGACCCATGAATCCCCTTCCTCCCGGGCTGTAGTAGATGCAGCTCCCGCATCACTGCCATTCCCTGCCCCACACAAAGACTCAGGACCCAGAACTGGGGAGCTAGCCCCACACTGAAACTGGGCTCCCCAGCCAGAATCCAGCTGCAGCAGCCCTGAAGCCTCCAGACTGGTCCAAGAGGGTACGGGGCCCTGTGCAGGAACCAAAGGGATCCTGGGCCCAGACCTCTCCTGGCCCGCCTGCACCCCATGCCACAGCCTCCGTGGGAGATCCAGGCAGCCACAGCTCGGCCCAGAGGCCCACACCAGAGCCCTTTCTGCCTGCTCAGGCGCTGACCTGCAGCAGCCCCCCAGCTCCAGTAGCACGGGCCTAAAGCCCTGCCTCAACCCCAGGTACCCAGCTCCCTTCTGGGCCTGTCACCCCAACCCTGAAGAAGAGACCCCCCAGCACCATGGTACCTGGTTCACTGAGGGCAAAGCAGCCAATTTTGTCGCCACTGGTGAAAGGGGTGACCCACTGCTTCTTCTGCTCAGGGGAGCCAAACTTCATGATGGGGCCCAGGTAGAGAGACTGGGGGAAGAGTGGGCAGTGGTTCGAGGCCACCCCAAGGCCTGCTCTCTCCAGAGGCCCACCCAGACCGAGTCCAGAGCCAACTCCAAGGTGTCCTGGCAACCCAGGAAGCTCACATTGTTGACACTCATGATGACGCCGGTTGAGGCACAGCCCCGGCTGATCTCCTCCATGGCGATGGAGTAGGCCAGATAGTCCAGGCCGGCCCCGCTGAGCTCCTCCGGCACGTCCATGGCCAGCAGCCCAAGCTCACCCATCCTCTTCACCTAGGGAGGGGAGCAGGTCATAGCCAGGGTACTGTTGCGCTGGTGCCCGCCCTCCCTGGCCCCTCCAGTCTAGGGCCAGTGCCAACAGACACTCAGGCCATGCCCCTCCATACACACACACCCTGAGCCCCAATCCAAATGCTAAACAGCCAGCCCAGCTGTTCAAACCATCCTGCCCCCATGCCACCCCACCAAGTGTGTTCACCTCTCCATCCACGACCACACCAGTGAGCAGGTAGAAGGCTCAGTAAGCCTTCAGGGGACTTAAAGGTAAGGAACAGAATAGTATGATGCCACATTGGTCTTTCTTCAGTCCCCTAAGCACATACATTTCCTCCTCCCCACCACAGGGCCTTTGCACATGCTGTTTCCTATGTCAGTAAGGCATGTGGTGGACTAGTATTTTTTTTCCTCCTTTCTTTCTGATCTTAATGCAAGCACCATCTCTTTGGGTTGCCACTTCTGGCCTCAATTAAGTCAAATACTTAAATCACACACTCACAACCCTGTGCTTGCCAGGCAGGTGCTTATGCTGCTGAGCTAAATCCCCAGCCCCAAGATGCTCATTTTGGGAGTTGGTTTGTTTGTTATTAGGGATCGAACTCAAGACCATGCACTTGCCAGGCAGGCACTTACATCACTGAGCTAAATCCCCAGCCCTAAAATGCTCATTTTGACTAAGTTCTTTCTCAGTGACCATGAGGAGAGAAACTTTGTGTTTTTCTCATTGTTACAGGCCAGATGCCAGTGAAAATGTGAATGGATAAAAGCCTGAGTTGCATGGGTGTGTGTGTGTGTGTGTGTGTGTGTGTGTGTGTGTGTTACTGGGAATGGGACCCAAGCCCTTGAGCAGACAGGCAAGTGCTCTCCCACTGAGCTACGACCCCAGGTTTGTTCTGTTTCACTTCATTTCAAGGCACAGGCTCACTAAGCTGCCCAGGTTGGCCTTGAACTCATGACCGTTTCTCAGCATTCTGAGCAGCTGGGATTACAGGTGTGTGTAACCATGTCCAATGGAGTTGGGATGTCTGGTGTGGAGACAGTAACAGTCATAGTGAACACTGAGCTCCTCCCCACGCCAGGCTCTCCACAGAGCACTTCTGGTTTGCTTTTGCAGTAGCAGAAATTGAACCCTTGATCACGCTAGGCCAGTGTGCACAGCACCTCGTGCTCTCTGTGTAGTGTCTCCTTTGAGTCTGCAAAGTTCTATGAGAAGGATGTTACATGTTAACTGCATGGTTCAGTGGGGAGACCGGAGCGTGGAGGGGATAAGCACTCTGCCCAAGGCCACATTGATGAAAACCTGGCAGCGAACACACCCTTAGCCAGCTCTGCCCATGCAGACCCACAAAACCCTTTAACCTCGTCAGCTCCCTTCCCACCAGAGAATACGGAGCACAGGAGAACCGACCTAAGGTCAGGGAAGAGGCAACTGAGACCATTCTGTGGGCTCAGGGACAGGGAAGGGATGAGGGGGCGCTGCTTTTATTAGCCCCTCTCTGTGGCACTGGGGATTGAACTGAGGGCCTTTCACCAAGCTAGGACACCCCCAGTCCTTTCTGTTTTGAGACAGGGTCTCTGTAAGTCAGTAAATTATCTGGGCTGTGATCCTCCTTCCTCAGCCTCCCTGGGTGCTGGGGCTAACAGGCAGGCATCACTGCACCCGGCTTATTGCCCCTTATCTATAAGGTCATCCTTCAGAACCAGAGGGAGACTGCTTCCGGGACACCCACAAACACCAAAGCCCAGAGGGGCTCACGTTCCCTTACATGAAATGGTGCAGCCTTTGCCCAGAGCCGACACTGTCATCCAGGCACTTTGCCTCTTCGTTCCTGCATTTGCTTGTGTATTTCTGTGGTGCTAGAGACAGAGCCCAGGGCCTGTGCACGCTGGGTGTGCACTGCGCCACCAAGATCAGCCAGCCACATCCTCCACGGGCCTGAAGTCCTGGCCCCGTGACCTACAGTACCCGACACTGTGTGCATGTGCAGGAGATGAGGAGGAGGAAAAGCTGTGCACGACCCGACGCAGTTATTTCCCTGGATGTGTTTGATTCTTGCATGGTCAGGTCAGGTCCTGACACAGAGCCTGGGGCAGGAGGGCCAACTGCAAGGACAGTGCTGTGACCACGTCCCCAACCCCTCTGACAGGAACTTCCTCTATAATGAGAGTTACTTCTGGATTATAAAAGTTTCACCCCGCCTACCCCCCCCCCATAAACCATATTTAACTTCCCTGACTGCTGAGACCATAAACGATACAAGATACAGAAACCTCTGCGTCTGGCTCAGGCCGAGTGATCGCGGTCACCAACCGGCAAGTCCTCTGACAGCAACACAAGCTGCTACACTTCCCTAACAATCTGTGTCCCCACAGGAAATCGCTTGATGCTGCTGGAACTGTCCCGTGGGAAGCTACTGCGGGAGACACTCAGCGTGGCGCCGGTCTGCGACATGCCAGAGGCACGGGCTCACCGTGGCACCCAGATGCCAGCCCCTGAGCACTGCCATGCCTGCAGCCTGAGAGGATGCACACAGAGGGGCAAGCAGTGTGGGAGGCAGAGCGGCAGCCCCAAGACATCAGCGTCCTCACGCTGGGCCCTCTGCTCTCCAACCACCACCATCACCACCACCCCCGCCTCCCAGGGAAGGGCTGGGGACGGGCACATGCCAGGCCCTGGGCTCCATCCTCAGTCCTGCAAAAATAAATCCATAAATAATGAAAACAAACAGCTCCTCGCGCTCAGGCTTCCTGCTTCAGGATGGGAGCTCCCTTTCCCATGTGTGACTTTGGGTCCGTGTGAGGAGCCAAACCAATGCCCCCAGATCTCAGACCTTGAACCTTCAGAACCATGAGCTAACTAAACCTTTTTTTCATAACAAAATGAAAAAAGAAAAAACACCTCATATAAAAACAATGCTACAAGTCACTTCTAAAAATAACGTCTCTAAAACATTAGATTGATCTTCAGTATGCCTATGTTCATTATAGCCAAAACTAACTCTCTTTAAAAAATACAATTTCCTGGGCCAGGGATATAGCTCAGCAGTTCAGTGCTGGCTGGCAGTGTGAAGCCCTGAGCTTGATTGCCAGTACCATAAATAAATGAATAAATAAATAAATTTTTCTGCCGGGTACGGTACACACCTGTAATGCCAGCATTTGGGAGGCTGAGGCAGGAAGCCTGTCTTGCATTTGAGGCCAGCCTAAACCACACAGCAAGACTCTGTCTCAAAAATATGTTTTAAAATTTTTTAAAAATTTCTATCTTGAAGATTTCCTTTTTCTGGCACTCAGGATCAAACCGGTCCCTCGCACATGTTGGGCAAGCGCTCTACCACTGAGCTGTACCATCGGTTCTTTCTGTTTTTATTTTGAGATGGTCTCTCAGAGTTGCCTTCACCGGCCTCAAACTTATGCTCTCCCTGCCTCAGTCTCCTGAGTTTCTGGGATTACAGGCACGTACCACCACACAGGGCAAGATGTGCCACAAACCCCAGGGAAGACCTGGCATTTGAGAGGCCATGGGTTCTAGCTCCAAGACCACACACACACTCACACAGGTAAAAAGGGAAGAGAAATCCACAAACAGCAGGGCCTGTTAGCACCTCCCGAGATCCAGCTGCACATGTGGGCCACACGCTGGGAGGCTGAGGGCCTGGGCCCTGTGGTCACCCCCGAGGGTGCAACCTGGCCCAATGGGAACGCTCCCTGGGACATGGGGCATCACACAGCCTGATGCCAGAGAAGAGGAAGAACAAGACCCAAGCCACCCATTCAGGAAGCTGCATGTCCGAAGTAACTATGAACCAAGACGTGTCGCGGTAGGAGCGCTAAGGCTGGTGACCATTAACTGAGTATTTGGGAAGAGCTGACAGAGAAGATCCGACATATCCCCAACACAAAGAACTGCGAAGCTCAGTGACTTTCGTCAACAGAGCTCTGGATTAAAACACTAGTGAAGTCAGAAAGCACACAATAATGCTAAGTTGAAAATAACCAAGCAGCTTGCAAACCACAAAAATAATTAGAGGTTTATTCGTGGGGTGAAATATTAATTAGATTTAAACGGGAGGAAATCCTTTCATTTGTGGCCATGTAGACCGAGCAGGGGGTCAGTCAGTGAACTGTACCAGACACTGACAGCTTGACTGTACTCGCAGTGATCGTCTAAAGCTGTCACCTGAGAGAGGCACAGAGCACTGGGACGGCCACGGTGGCTGTGACAGGGAACTAAGAGAGGTTCATGAAAAGGCACAGTGCTGCTTTTGCGCAGTACAAGAAAGATTTGCAGATCTTGTGCTGACTACAGTGACAGCTATCGTGTCCCTTACACAACTTTAACTTGCGATGAGTGTTGTTTTAATCTTTTCCCCACATATCCAAAAGATAAATGTGTTAAGTTATAAATATGCTAACTAGAAAAACTGGTAATTTACAATATAAGCATATACCACAACTTTACATTGCACACATTATATAATTTACTACCATTATGCTACATAAAATGAAAATTTATTAAGAAAAAATAAAAGACCTGATTAGTATCTGTGGTGACACACACCACTGACCAATTACTGTGATCAGATCGTCACACACTGTATCCAGGTGTTGAAATGCTACACTGCACCCCAGAAATGTGCCAACATATATATACTGTGTGTATATACATATTATATATAATTTTTCCAAAAGACACATATAACAATATGATCGGCATAACTGGCAAATTCTGAATAGAATACTCCCAGAATATAGAAAGATAAAGTCTGTTTGCAAAAATTAGAGGAAGTAAGGCTGGGGATTTAGCTCAGTGGCAAAGCTTCTGCCTGGCAAGCTTGAGGTCATGAGTTCATTCCTCAGTACCGGAAAAAAAAAAAATCAGAGGAGGTAGCAAGTAGAAGGCAATCTGGGGTCATATTAACAAACCAGTGACAAGCCAGGCATGGTGGCGCACACCTGTATTCCCAGCACTTGGGAAGCGGAGGCAGGAGAATTGCTATGAGTTCTAGGACAGCCTGGCCTACACAGTGAGTTTGAAGCCAGTCTGAATGACATAGCAAAACCTTGTTTCAAAAAAAAAAAAAGTTTTTCAATAAAAATTCACTGAGTGGAGAAGATATTTTATATACATAAAAACTTTTCAAAGTTAGGAAGTCTGAAACTGACTGGAAATACCACTGTTTCTTAAACACCTTTGTGACAAAATGACACTGTAAAGTTGTAACTGTTATTTCATTTGTTAGTTTAGACATAAAAAGACTAAAGGTCAGTTAATTATAAAACCAACCATGTAAGTGAAAACTGGCGCCTACCTTCCACCTAATTCTTGGCCTGCCCGCCTCAAAACTCCCTCCCTTTGGCCCTTCTCTGGCAAACCTCCTTTACTGGGGAAACAAAAAACTCTTCAGGAAACATACACTGTACTAACGAAAAACATCAATAATTCTTCAGGAAAACATATTAGAACTCACTGAACTACAGGCCGGGGTGACGCAGAACTCTGTGCCTGGCTGCTAAACTACAAAGCGCAGCTGCTTAGCGAGAAACAACCTCCAGGAGCTGGGGTGCAGGTCAGCGGCAGAGCAGCACCCTAGCTTGTGTGAGGCCTGGGTTCCATCTATGTCACTGCAAAACCAAAGGAAGGGAAGGAGAGGAGAGGGACAGCAGGAAAACAGGATAGAAACAAAGAGAGAGGGGGAAGGAGAAAAGAAAAGAAACTCAAGCAAGAGTAACAGTGCACGCCTCTAATTTAAATTTAGCACTCCGGGAGCCTGAGGCTGGAGGATCCCAAGCTCCAACGCTCCTGGGCAACTTAGCAAGACTGTTGCACAACAAAAAACAAAAAGGCCTGCAGATGTAGCTTACTGTGGAGCACCTGGGTTCAACCTCCAGTACCACTAAAAAATAAAGAAACAACTTAACCTCTGGCTTCAGTTTCCTCATCTGAAAGCTGGACATAAGTAAGTAACAACCTTACTCTGCTGTCTTGAAGACTCAATGAGTTAAATGTTCTATATATATAAAGATTCCAATTGTTACCTACTGATCATCACTATCATCATGTGGAGTTTTCTTTGAGGTGTGTAAATGTGGGGTTGCTCACCAAACACATGCTAACAATAGGTAAGTGCTCTATTCCTGGGCTACGCCGTAGCCCTTACTAAATCTTTGAAACACTCATTACATTATTTGGCACTGTGCAAATGTGTTGTATTACCTGCGTGTGTCTAGTTCTCTCGGCCTTTGCCTACTTTACCCCTGACTTTCTCCCTGTAACTTGGAGCTTAGCACCGTACAGGGACAGGGACAAGAGCTAAGGGCAGGTTCTGGGGAAGGAGCTCAGCATTAGGGCACTCGTCCTGGCACGCAGCATGTGCAAGGCCTTAGGTTTGACCCTCAGCAATGAAAAAGAAAAAGCAAGAAAGCAAACAGGTCTTGGCCCTCAGCCCCTGAGATGCACACTGTCAGGAGTATCCCTCGGCCACCAAACAAGCGGTGGACCCATCAACAGATCCAGGGCTCCTCCTCCTCCCCAGCTATGAGTATCCAGGCCATACTGAGTAAAGAAGAATTACTGTGAGCCACGTATGTAAAACAGGTATACAGTTCATGTGCACAAGAAACAAAACTTCCCTTTAAAAATTTATTTATTTATAACATTCAGAAAAAAAAAAAAAAGAGTTAGCAGCCCACAGGAAGTGTGCTCAACACCACACACCTGCTACAGCCTGAGACCATGTGCAGATCACCAGCAGACTGGCTAAGAGCAAGGATTAGGAGAGGACAGTGCGAACACCTGGCAAATAATGAAACAAAATACAGACGCGATTGTACTCTGCTACTCTCATGCACACTCGGGAGACCCTTACGGAGCTGTATCCCTGTGGGAGAAGCTGCCGGCGCCGACCTCTTCCTCCAAGCCCCACTTCTGCCACCACTGGAAGAATTAACCGCAGCCCCATAAAGCAAATCAGAAAGCACTGCGCCAGAGGATTCATTAAGAGCACGCTGGCGAAGGCCAGGGATACTCCTCAGTGGAACATGCACCTGCCTGGAAAGAGTGAGGTTGTGAGTTCGATCCGCAGTACAAAAAAAAAAAAAAAAAAAAGAGTAGGATGGCAAAGCATTGTCTTCTGGCAGCAGCTGCCTGACACAAACCACCATCTGTGATACTGGTCATAATTTGACAGAGTCCAACAATACAGGACAGACAAACGGGGCAGTCTGTCCTTTGGCAGGAATACTCCCACACACAGCCAGGTCATGGGCAGCGGACGCGGGGGACGAGCCCCCAAACCACTCCTGCTGCGCCAAGGCCTGTTTGTGTCTTGCCTTCCTCTCCTCTCCTCTCAGAATTCACACTTTTTCACATCCCCACTAAGGCGCTCAAATGTAAAGTGGTGATCCAGGCAAGGCCATGGAGTCACACGTGTGGGGATGGCAGAGGCAGGGAAGGGGAGGCCCAACAACAACACTCCCAACTAGAACGGCGTTTCCCTATTGGCTGGCTGGGCCACTGGGCATCGCACACAGATGGCACCCGGATGGAGAATGGTTTGAGGCAGCCAGACTCGGGCTACAAGGCTGAGCTGTACACACCAACAAAGTATGAAGTCTCTTCTCTCGCTTCTGTTTCTTTGTTGTTGTTGTTGTTGTCTTTTTTCTTTTTTTATCGGTACCAGGGCTCGAACTCATGACCACATGCTTGCAAGGCAGGCGCTTATGCCGCTGAGCTAAATCCCCAGCCCCACTCGCTTCTGTTTCTGTGACAGTACAGTATAAACCACTACCATTACTCAAGCCTGCTGGGCACCTTACATTTGACAAACACTATGTCCTTTAATATCTGCAATCCTACCAGAAAGCAAGAAATGGAGACCAGCCTAAGCAGAGATCCAGCAATGTACAGATTAAATAAGACAATAAAAATCCCTATAAGTAGCCCAGCTGGGTTTTCTAACCAGAATGTAACCTATCAGCTTTGAGGACGTTGAATCTTCCCACAGTCTAGGCACAAAGGTCCCACAAACTGACCACACGACACTAAGCCAAAAGACTGGCCCCCAAATTTTCAGGACACAACATGGGGGACCACTAAAAAACAGACAAGGAGTAGAGCCCAGAAAGATTTGCCCTTTCACAAACCATGGATTCAACAGGTATCTCTGGAGCATTTATAAGCGTGCCAGACATCTTACCAGGTCAGGGGACATGAAGGACAGCTTACATTGCATCGCAGATGGACTGAACAGAGATGAGGAGCATAGGAGGGAGTTATGGGTGCAGACCTCGGGGTCTGGGAGAAGACAGACCTGATTTGGACCCCTCATTCTTAGTCTCATGACTTTGGGAACGTTATTTAACCTGTTCACAGGCTTGAGTTTTACTGGTGATTCCATGGGCATAGTATCAGTATCTTCACCCTGTACAACTGCGCAAGGAACAAATACGGCAACCGATGTCATGTGCACAGGACAGAACATAGTGTCAAGGGTTCTCTGAGCATTAACTGTCACTAACAGCGCAATACCTGGGACAGAACTGTGCCCACACCTAAGTGAACTTTTACTGTGAGGCCTGGACACTCTCCAGATCCTATCTGCAAATCCTACCTTAATCCTCAGTATAACAATACTAACAGGACGGCACTCTGGGACCTCCGACACGGATTTCACTGCACCTGAGCCTCAGTCCTCTAGAACTTGGTGACAATAGCACTCTGTTTCTCGGAGTGGGTGGCACTTTGCACAGTCCTTCAAGGTTTCCCTAATGTTACCAAGCAGCTGGACCAGCGCTAGTTACTGTCATTTGGAAATGAAATCCTGGCTAAAGGATTTAGGGTGAATAAAACAAGCCTCCAAAGCACTCTGGGGTCCAGAGCCCCTGCGAAAGGGCTCCATGACTGGAGGTGAAGTGTCCCTAGCTGTCACTGTCACCATTCATCCGAGGGCAGCCGGCCATCACGCGACACTCAGGTTGGCGCTCTCACCTGCGCCGCTGGGAAGAGATGCTCCCTGTCCACCTGAGCCGCGATGGGAACCAGCTCCTTCTCAGCAAAGTCCCGACAGGTCTGACGCAACATCTGGTGCGTCTCTGGCAGCTCCACAGAATTGTAGACAGTGTGTAACTGCTGCCAGTCCCGAGGACGGCGAACTACTGGCAGTGAAAGAACACAAGGGGTCCTGAGTAGTAGTAATCATGATCCACTTAGAAGCTTTCCACCAGGCAGGATTTCCCCTTTGGGGAAGTAATGTCCAACAGTAGTATTGGGTGTCACAACTGGGAAAGGGAATGTTTTTAGTACCCACTAAACATCCCATTATGCACAGGACAGGTCCGCCAACAGAATTACTGGCCTGCAGTCCCAGGTAAGTCCCAGAGCTAGAGCAGGAGGCTCACTTTGAGCCCTAGAGATGAAGGCCAGGCTGGGCAGCACAGCAAGGGGAACAATAATAAAAACTGTACCCAAACCTAAGAGAACTTTTACTGTGAGGTCTGGACACTCTCCAGATCCTATCTACAGACCGTATTTCAGTCCTCAGTATAACAATAATAACAGGACGGCAGCTCTGTGACCTCTGACACAGTTTCACTGCATCTGAGCCTCAGTGCTCTAAGAACTTGGTGACAATAGCACTTCATTTCTCGGGGTGGGTGGCACTTTGCACAGTCCTTCAAGATTTCCTTAATGTTATCAGGAGGAAGTTGGATCTGCATTTGCTAAGGATGCCTTGATCACAGATGCCAATGGTGATGGACACAATGGGAAAGGGATGCGGGAAATGGTAAATAACAGTGCAAATATTACGAAGCATCTATTACATGCCCGGCGCTGCACTGTGGGCTATATGCTGTGATTTAATCTTGCTAACAACTCTCTGTGAGTAGCAACAGCTCGCTGTGGCCATCTTACACTTAGGCCAATTGAGGCCAGAGGATAACTAAGCGTCTGGTCCAAGGTCACAGACCTGAGTCCAAGCTCAGTCCCAGGCCTGCCTCTGAGGTCGGCGTCGGCGGGCCCAGAACTCAGCGTGGGTGACAGGGATACGGGTGCCGCGGTTCGAACCCGGTCGGCGGGGACTCGGGGCTGGCGCGGCGGAGCCCCAGGGGCCCGGCCTGCGGGGCCCAGAGAAATCGGCTGGGGCAAAGCCCGCGCGCCGGTGCGGGTGCCGCCAGCCGACCCCGGGGCTGGGCAGTGCCCCCCACGAGGACCCACGCCGTGGGCTGCCCGGCAGCACGAAGCCCAAGCACACTCACCTCCGCGGAGGGGGCCGCAGGCCCGGGCGAGCAGCGTAGCGGCCATGGGCGGTGAACGCGGCTAGGGATTCTGCGCGATCTCGGGCGGCGAGCGCTCGTTCCGGGCTGCAGGGGGCGGCCCCGAGCGGGCAACGCCACGCCCTCAGGCTCCAGGGGCGTGGCCGGCGCGCTGGAGGCGGGGCCTCTGGAATCCCCGCCCCCACGGGGCTGGCCAATATTTCCCTAAGCTAAGGAGGCGAAGTCTCCGAAGTTGGCGTGCTGCTGTCCGGCTCTCGTCAGTTAATAAAAATGCAAGTATGGCAAGGAATGGGCCTCGAAGAGGGCCATGGAGGTCTTTAGAAAGTATAGTAAGAGAGATCAGTCCTCAAAAGCCAGGCATCAAAGCGTGCTGCTGTGGTCCCGGCAACAAGGGAGGGAGAGAGGGAAAGGTCCCACGCGCTCAGCAACCCGCAGACCCTAACCACCCTGGACAATGCAGCGAGACACCATCTCGAAAAAAACAAAAGCCTGGCGTAGTGGCCCACCCCTGTAATCCCAGAACTTCAGAAACTGCGACGGGAGGATCACCACCAAGTTTGAGGCCAGCCTGGGCTACATAGTGATTTTGAGGCCAGCCTAAAAAAATTTGAGACCCTGTCTCAAAAAAAACAAAAACCTTTGACTTAAAAGTCTCATCTATGGACGTATTTCTTGTAAAATCCATGACCTGAAGACCCAAGACCTATCCCTGCCCACATCTCTGTGCTGCCCAGCCCCAATCCTGTGTTCCCTGGCGCCTGCTTTCATTGCACAATGCAGGCAGCTTTGTTCTGCAACCCTTGGCCTTTGCCTGGACGGCTCCTTCTCTCTCAGGGCCTGCGCAGGAGCCACCCTGCCCATACCAGGCCAGTATTTCTCTGCATGCTGGAATAAACCCTGTTTATTCGTAGTACTTTGCCTCTGCTTTGTTTTTGTGGTGTGTCCATGTGTGCACGTGCCCGAGGGGAGGACTTGGAGGGGTGCCGTATATGCACATGCCTGCGGGGACAGGTTGGAGAGGTACCAGGGATGGAACCTAGGACCTTCACAGTTGTTAGTTACATCTCTTGATCTTATTTTTTGAGACGGGATCTTACATTCTAGTCACCCCTTCTACCTGGACACCAGCTCTAGGTAGAAAAATAAATTTCAAACACAGGAAAAAGAAACAAAAGGTTCATGTTTGTGAGCAGAGGCCAGTAACTGCTTCAGTTGCCTCAGACTAATCAGTGTTTGGTGTTGGAATTGAAGCTAGGCTCTTGTGCAGGCTAAACATGTGCTATACACTGAACGACACCCTCAGACCTTAATTTTAAAATTGTATTGGTTGTGCTCTTAAATATAAGAATGTGTTTCAGATTAGAAATGGTTTTTGGCTACCATCTCTCTTCGCAATAGCCCACTCTATGCTGTAATGTACTTTTCTCCTTTTTTTCCTACATTTACTTGGCCCAAACTCACTCTGCAGAGTCCGTTTTTTCTTACCTTTAATAAATGTGTTAAAAATAAATAAATTTGCTTTTTGCCAGACATAGCAGCACACAGCTGTAATCCCAGCTACATGAGAGGCTGGAGGTAGGCAGATCTTGAGTTTAAGGCCAGCCTGAACAACTGAGCCAGAACCTATCTCAAAACAAAAAATGAAAAAAGGCTGGGGATGCGCCAGTGTGAAGCTCTGAGTTTAACTCCAGTACTACCCCACCCCCCAAATATTCAGGTTTGCAGCAGAAACAGATTGACTGGTTGTCAAAGACAAGTGAGAGAAGGAGCTACCTGTGAATACCCAGAACTCTAGGGACATTTCTGAATAGTGTGATGCATTGGGGTCTGTGCCTAGATCCCCAATCTCCCAAATGAGTACATGGCGGAAGGCCCAAATGAAATGAGACAAGTGGTATTATCTCTAGGGCTCCAGGAGAACCAAAATCCTCTGCAGAGTTCTTAACTCTAGTGGCTGAGAAAAACAATGTCTCTGGGTGGCCCGTATTTATTTAGTGTTCAAACAAGGAAGGGATTAGAGTGGAAAATGCAGGAAATCTGAGCAGGACCTTGGGAGGGGTTCAAGGACCCCTACAAGACACAGACTAATTAAGAACTATCCTAGGAGAAAGTCTTCAGGTGTCCTCAGCTGTGGCCTATCTTGCACCCTGCGGTGTCTCCTTGTTCTCAGTCCAGCCGCTCCTGGATCATGCCACAGTCCTGCATGTGTATTCAGCTTGAGCGGCTCCAACTGTGATGGAAAGTCCTTGTATCATGATTGTGACTTCAGTAGGAAGACTGTATACATTTGTCAAAAAACATCAGCTAATTGGGCATGATGGTCCATACCTGTAACCCCAGCACTTGTGTTCACCCTGAACTACATAGTGAGACTGTCTCAAAAAACCAAAAAGGAAAAAAGCATCAGATGATTCTCTTACATGTGATAAACTTCAGGTATCAAGTATACCTTAATAAACCTACCTTTAGCTGGGCATGATATCACAAGACCAATAGTATCCTAACATTCTAGGAGCCTAAGGCAGGAAGACCCCAAATTTAAGCCTAGTTTGGGCAATTTAATGAGACCCTATCTCAAAATAAAAAGAAAAGGGAGAGAAGAATGGGGGGGGGGGGAGCAGCAGCAAGATAGATATGAACTGGTACAAATTCCCTATGATGAATATATTGTCACTGTTTATATCTAAAATGTACCAATAAAATTTTAAAATGAAAATAAAGAGACTCAGGGCTGGGCATTTAGCTCAGCAGCATAAGCACCTGCCTGGCAAGTGTGAGGTCATGAGTTCAATCCCCTGTACCAATAAAAAGGCTGCAGAAACAGAGCCATAAAAAAAATAAAGTAAAATTTAAAAAAAAAAAAAAAAAAGCTAGGAATCTAGCTCAATGCAAAGATTCTAGGTTCAATCTCCAGTGCTGGGGGGGAAAAAAAGCAACACTTGAAAAAACCTACCTAACTTTAAAACACATATGCAAAGTTTAAGATCTCAAAGTCCCAAGGCAAAATATCTTTATAAAATATTTAACCTAATTGGGTGTGCTGGCGCATGTATGTAATCCCAGCACTCTGGCAGGGGGATTGCAAACTTGAGTCTAACCTGGGCAACCTGGTGATTTAGAGACCTTGTCTCAAAAAATAACATAAAATAATATGAAGACAAAGCCACAGTTAAAAAAAAAAAAAAGTAAAATAAAATAAAACAGAGCTGGGGGCTACAGCTCAATGAGACCTGCATTCAATCTCTGGTATCACAAAAACGAAACTGACAAAAATATTGAAATTAAAATATAATACTAGGTGGCTGGGGATTTAGCTCAGTGGCATAAGTGCCTGCCTTCTTGCAAGCAGGCAGTCCTGAGTTCGATCCTTGGTACCGATAAAAACGAAAAAGACAAAAAAAAAAAAAATTAGATATATAATACTAGGGGCTGGGGATTTAGCTCAGCGGCATAAGCACCTGCCTTGTAAGCAGGCAGTCGTGAGTTCAATCCCCAGTACCGGAAAAAAGAAAAAAAAAAAATTACTAAATTTAGGGCATGGCGGGACATGCCTATGACGCCAGCACTCACAAGGCTGAGGAGAAAGGATCTGCATGAGTTCTAGACTGGCCTGGCTATATAGTGCCATCCTAAACTACATAGTGAAACTGTCTGAAAGCAATCAAACAAAGTAAGTCCAGCACAGGACTATTCCTCAGTCACCCTAGAAATTAGCTCTGCTCATTGAACAGAAAGGACATGGAATAGCCAAGAGAAGTGTGCAGCCCACTCCTGCCCCACCCCTGCCATGCCAGGGACCCAGTCAGCAAACAAGACAGGGCAGGCATACTGTGAAAAATTTTTCTTTTATTACTGTCTCTTGTGGCAAAATAACATTTTATACAAATAATTCACCTAATTTACTTTGGACACAAAAACAGTACAAACTGGAGTAAGGATCTTGGGTGAAAGAAGAGAAAAAAGTACAGTTCAGGTCATTGACATTTCTTATATTCTGTGAAAAATACATCTGCAAGGAAAAAATAGACTTTCGCAACTTCAATGACGTCACATGGTTCTTTGTAAAGCAAGAGGTAAGCCCACTTCCACCAGATCCATCTTGAGACTAAGGTGTTCTGTAACATGGTATAAGCAACAAGAAGGTTCGACAATTAGGGTCTCTACCAAGTATACACTAAGGAGTCTGGGCTGTGATTTTCAGGACAAATTTTACCCATTCCCAAACCTCACTGATGGCATGGGGCATAGAAGAAAATGACTCTATGGAGGAAAAAAAAAAAAAAAAAAAAAACATACTTGGGACCCCACCAAGGGAAGCAGGATCAACTAAGGTAGGATTCACCGCTATGTACATTAGACACAGCCTACTAAATCCAGTCCAGAAAAGGGTTCCACTCCAACTGGAAAGCTATGCTAAAGTCTGTCTAGTCAATGCTGTGCCAAGAACCGCCAGTGTATGGTCAGCCCCAGGGATCTCCAATCACTATCCCTAGGTGTCAGGAATCAGATGCCCAAGGCCTAGACATCTTCAGGAAGGCCACGATCCTGAAGAATGTTTTCTCCCCAACAGCTCTGAGCTAACACAGAATGAAATGACAGCCTATTTTAGCTCCCATTGACTTCTAGTCACTACACCTTCCTATGTTTATGCTTTAGAACACAGAATGAAATAAGCCAGAATCTTCTAGAATGGCAGCTTAGCCCAAAGGCCGTAGAGAAAAGCAGAAGCCCTGTGAAGAATTCAAAGACAGAGGCTCTAGGAGAAAGAAGGTCGAGGGCTCCAGGTGGGCCTGTCTGCCTGCTGCAGTAAGATCCCTCCAGGAAGCCTGCTCTTGACAAAAGGAATGGTCTCCCCATGCAAGGAACTGGTTGATAGTTACCCGCTATCAACCAGGTAACTGCTATCAGTAATAAAAATTTCTTGATAGCAGGCTTCCTGACTCAACTTCTGATTGACTTAGTCACTTTGAGAGGAAGTACGACTTCTAATTCTCCCCTCGATTCAGGTATGGAAGCTTGAATTCTTTTGTTTTTGGAGACAGGGTCTCACTCTGCAGGCAGTTCAGGCTGGCCCTGAACTCACTATATAGCCAGGCTGGCCTAAAACTTAGGGCAATCTTTCTGCCTCATCCTCCCTACTGCTGGCATTATAGGTGTGTACCACCACATTCAGTTGGAAGCTTCAATTTTAAATTCATCGCAGCCAAACCTAGAACGGTAATGCTTCTCAAGATTTCCTGCACAGCTAGACACATACGACACTGGCCCTTCAAAAGCAAGAGGACAGCAAATCCCACCCTGCTGAACACAACTGAACACCCAGCTTCAAAAAAGATCTTCAGCAACACTAAAGTAAGTTAACAGGGAAGGGGCTATTGCACTGCTCAAGCCAAAGTGCCAGCTCCTCCATCTCCTGGGTGCTTTGCCAGGAAAAGGTAACACTGCAGGTAAGAGACAGTCCACTAGTGTCCATGCAACTGCCTTTCCTGGGGCCCATTTTTCAAAACAGGCTCTACAGAGCAGAGCTCTGGGAAGCTCCAGAATACACATCCTAGGTAATGTTTAAATTTCAGGCAGCAGAAGTGCTCCCAAATGGGCTTCTGTCACACAAAGGAAGGAACATCTGAAGTTTGACAGGAATAGGTAAATCTCACTAAAGGCCACAGTAAGAAAGAGAAGGAGGTAGGGAGATAGTGGGTGATGATGTCTGTCCACAGGTGAGAAGGGAATGAAGGCAACAGCTTTCCCCAGCAGCATATAGGACAGAGCCACACTTAAGGCACCTGGATTTGGAGCTGACTCCAATTCTGAGATTCACCAGTAGTATGGTGATGAGGCACCTACGTGGCAGGGCACAGTCCCCATCTTCCCTCGGCAGGTGAATCCAGTACCAGCACTCAGGATAATCCAGAGTTTTCTTAGTGAGAAAGCTGCCAGCATACGGTATCACCAATTCTTTGGACAGGCACAAAGTATGCGTTGAGGGTCAGGGCCACTCGTGCTCTAGAAGCCCAACAGGAACACTGGCTAAAGAATGCACATGTGCTTCTGGGGCACAGTGCTGGTCCTTCTTTCGCTGGCCACACATGGCCTTTCCTCTAAGAACCTTGGGATCCAGCTTCTGTCACAGGTACAGTGATGCCTCACACTGCCTTACTACACACCTGGTCCTCTTTCCATTAATGCTAAGTGGGCCCTGGCCATAGAAGGGGGCCCTGAAATCTGGGTTAAGCACCTAAAGCCACTCACAGAGACAACCATAGGCAGCTGAGGAGATGGGAGTCTGTCCCATAAGGGTCCAAGGACAGAAGCAGCCCACAGGAAATGGGAGGGAGCTGTTTGGAGAACTCGTCACTCTGACAGGCTACCTCAGCCTATCTCCACCTTTCCAAACACCTCAAATAATCCCAGCTAGCAGCTTAAAGGATCTGAATACGAATTACTTAGCTCTGGCAGAATCAAGCCAGATGATTCCAGAAACTACTTCATTAGAAACAGGATAGGAAAACTCCTAAGTAAGAAATCCACAGTTAGGAGGCAAATCTCCTTTAGAAGCCAATTCTTCAGGCTATGCTGTGTGTAGAGAAAGTCAAATCTCTCCTTAAAGGAACTGCTGCTTTGTAACTGTACCTCCCTTAACAAGAGCCAGATTAGCCCCAGGAGGCTGATCAATACTATCAGAAGTCTAAACACACATCACATGTGCTGGAAACACCACTGACATTTTGTAAAAACTCCCTATAGGAGTCTGGGGAAAAAAAAACCACAAGAGCCTGCTCTGGGCTTAACAGGTATTATGTTCCATGAGCAAAAATGACACATTCTACTCTAGGAGATGCTTAAGTCAGGAGGACAAAGCAGCAGAGAAGTACATCTGTCCCCCAGAATAAGAAGGCACTACCAGGCTAAAACCTTGGTGTATCCCCAGGAAGTCAGACAGATAAACAGGCTCACCATGAAAGGGTCCTTTGGTCTGGCAAGATCTGTCATTACAGGTGCTTCCACTCTCAGCACCAAGTTTTTTCCAGTTGGTTTAAGACTATGTGCAGTCTGGGGCAGGCTGGGCTACGGACAACACAAGAAGTGAGAAGAGGTCTCCAGGAGATGCCCACCTTTTCCTGTCTAGAAGGACCACTAACCTGCAGGTGGCAGCTATAGCCTCAGCTGGAGACTGCTGTGCTAGACAGACTGAGGTTCATCAGTGTAACCAGCAGATAGCTAGAACTACAAGAAAATAAACTTCCTTTTTAATGTGGATTGCAGAAGCCTTACTCTAATCTTTTACTTCACTATACCTCTGTGATCTAAGGGACAGGGAAAAAAGGGAAAACACAACACTGCTTGGCACCTCCCTGGAGCAGAGGAAACTGCCACCCCAGCCTTAGCCTCCTGGACTGCTTCCAGATGTCTGCTGACAAATAGGAGCTTCAATCCCATCCATGTGCCAGGACCACTGGGCCCTAGCAAAGCACCTCTTCTGTCCACCCCTGCTGCAGCAGTTACTGGCCTCCATTATAGGCATAATCAGCCTTGTTGTGCATTATCAGCTTGTTGTCCACAAAGTAGAAGCTGTCAGAGCGAGTCTCATAAGGGTTTTCAATCATCAGACGAACTGCAAGTGAAGGGAAGGGAAAAAAAGTCAAAAGTTACGTATGAGTCTGTCCCACGGTCAGGTGGGAAGACCTCCTACCAAATCCCAAGTGAGCACTTCTGCAAAATGTGAGTATGCACTGCTAAGTACTGAGTCCAAACCCAGAGAAGGAGCCAACTAGGAGAGCTGGGGAAACAGCAAAGGCCCCAAAGTGAGCATGATTTACACTCAACCTAAGACGCAATCGACTCCTCTGTCATTCCCAGTCTGGTTTTTCCCAAGAGTGCAATGGGAAATGTACTCATTTGCATGGCAGCATGGACCAGTGGTCTCAGCTGACCACCCAGCCGTAGCTTCTGGTCTGCTGCCCATGGGTAGCCACAGTGGTACAAATCCAGAAAGCTAGGCCTCACTGCACTTCCTGCAGGCACCCCTGATAGCCAGAGGATGCCTAGGGAATTAAAGGGCAAGGAGCTTCTCCAGAGAAGGCTCAGGTATTAACCTGCAAGTGATCTAGTCAGAGGTCTACCTGCCTCGGGATCTAAATTTAAATTTTGTGTTTGTTCAGACAGTTGTCCAGACCTCCTTACCATACTGGAGAGTAAAAGTAATTAACAGTCACTACCTGTGATTAGTTTTGTTAATGATTATATGCTGTCTTGAGTTACCTGAAGCACTACAATTTTCAAAAGGTGACACTTCAAAAAGTTCTTTGAAGGCCAGGTGTGGTGATACATGCCTGTAATCTCAGCATTTGAGAGGCTGAGGCAGGAAGCTCTCCATCAGTTCAAAGCTAGCGGGTTACACAGTGAGTTCAAGGCCAACTTGTACTACATAGCTAGACCCTCTATCAACCTCCCCTCAAAATAAAAGTTCTTGGAACACATTCAGGCCAAAGCAATTTAGTTTACATGTCAATGACGGATCCTTAAAACCTCTTAGTTTGTTTGACTTCACAGGTATACTTTGTAATCCTATCCATGATCTTTTCTTGAAAGTATCTTCATATTCCTGCCCAACTTGGCTTGAGCCAGAGTCAACGCTGTCATGAGCACTTGCCCCACACTGCAGCAATGCTCATTTTACCTGGGAACAGTACTATCACAAGAATAAAGAGGCCTGGGGTCTTGGCCTAGCCCCCAACCTCCTAAATGAGTGGACCGAGAACAGCTTGAACAAAAGACAACTGGTATGATTTTAGGCTCCGAGAGGATCAAAACCCTCTAACAGCTTTTGAGATTCCCTGGGAGTTGAGACAAAGAACTCCTCTGGACAGCCCATATTTATTTGGTTTTCAAACAAAGGAAGGGGATACTGAGGCAAGTGCAGGAACTAAACAGGACCTTGGGAGTTAGTTCCAAGATTTCTCCAAGTAGGCCATTCATGGGCCATGGGGAGGAGAACAAGTCAGCCAGCCACTTCCAATGAGTCGGCCCCATGTGTGGGCTGTAGGGAAGAGAGATGCCAGCCTCTTCCAGGACACAGGCTAGGAGACAAGAAGAGCCAAGCCCTACCCCCACCCCCACTGCATTGTGAGGGGCTGATCCAGAGAAACACAGGCTGACATACTGGCTACTGAAGTAAAATACAACTTAATGCTTGTAGTGATTAGTGATTCACTAACTTTGCAAGCCTAAATTCAGTAGTCTGATCACCTGTTTAGAGGATAATAATATGCAATACAGCATCTATGGGGAATCTGCTTCTGAAGGTGGTAGCCATTTTTAATTCCCTATTATCTTGTTTTAAAGTCCTGCACTGTTTTCATTGTTTGGTTTGGTTTGACCCTGTTTTGCCTTGTTTGATTTTATTATATCTGATGGCATGGGCAACTATCTGAAAGCTAACAAGACATTATTATAGTAGACATTTTAGATTTACTATTATCTTGTTTTGAAGTCCTGTATTGCCTTCATTGTTTTGTTTTTATTGGTTCTATTCGGTTTTTGTTTTTTTATTCTGTTGTTTTGTTTGATTTTACTATGTCTGATGGTATGGGTAGCTATTCTGAAGACAAGAGGCATTATAGTAGGCATTGTTGATTTCCTACTATCTTGTTTTGAAATCCTGTATCACTTGTACTGTTTTGTTTTGATTGGCTTTATTCTGTTTTATTTTCTTAAACTTTTTTTTTTTTTTTTTTTTGGTATTTTTACCAGTACCAGGGATGGAATTCACGACCACGGGCTTGCAAGGCAGGCGCTTATGCCACTGAGCTAAATCCCCAGCCCGGTTTTATTTTCTTTAAAATAAAAATAAAAAATAAAAAAACGACTTTCCCAAGTAGTAAATTTGGCCAATTAGGAGAACTATCTTATCTCCAGGTTAACTATTACAGCAGCAGTGAAATGGTAGTCTCTACCTAATAAATAGAGAGTCAGAGCCAGGTATCTTCAGCTGTGTCTTGTCTTGCACATGGTATCACAGACCACTACAGGCCTCGGCCAGGACCTGTGATTCACAGAGGTCCACTTACTATGAATCCACTGTGCTCTCCAAGCAATGAACATAGGCCTGGGGCAGACTCAAAAGTAAATATAGAAAGCCAATTGATTAATTTTAAATCCTGCCCAGAGCCACTTAGCAGTGGTCTCCACCAAAGAGTCCCTGATTCTCAGGATATGCAACCTGTTAAGGTCTTAAGATTTTGAGCAGATTGTTCAAATGTATACAGATCCACACAATTAAAGGTCACCATTATTCACAGGATTCTACTCCCACCTCCATTAATGTCTTATACCAGTTTTCTCAAATCACAAACAGAGGATGGTAACTGCAGCCAGTGAGATAAAAATTCTAGAAATTGATAAAGCCCGTTCCTTTTCTATAACTCAGTCATATCTTCCCCTACTTGGGTTACATAGCAGCCTTCTCTACTAGAGTGCATTCCCCGGCTAGGGCTCTGTGCTATAAAACCCTGCTTCTACTGTATCCTTTCTACTGCCACAAAACCTGGTAAAGCTTCCTCACTTCTAGGTTGGTTCTTGGTTTTGTTGTTTTGTTTTGCCAGCTTAGGCTGGCATCAAACTCACAGTGATCCTCCTGCTTCTGACTCTCTAGTGCTAGGATTGTAGGAGTGCACCATCACACCAGGCTGCTAGGTTGATTCTAACAGTTTATAAACCCTCTAGAGCCTACAGCAAAAGAGAAAAAAAGTCCTCAGGCTTTTGATTCTATAGAGCCTACAATTTCGCATCTGGTTCTGATTGTGGAAAAAGTGCAGGGCCAATGACTGGGACACAGAGGAAACTGCTACTAACACTCTAGACTCTTATCTAGTCAGAGGTCCAGGCAAGGTCCATGCATCCTTTATCTCCCTCAGCCACTCTCTTTCCCATGAGAAGTGTCTGAAAATGATGGCCTGTATTTTTACAACCTTCTCTGCTCCCATATAAGCAGTTAGATTGTGAAACAAAAGACAGGCATAGGAGGAAATAAGAAGCCTTAGGTCAGATAACCAGATATTCATCATGTTACTGCTGTCCTCCTCTGCAAGACGAAGCTGTCAGATGAGGTTCAAGGTTCATTCCTTAGGGCTGGGGATGCAGCTCAGTACCTACTTGCCTAGCATGTACAGGGGCCCTGGGTTCCATATACAACGCAAACAGAAGGGGAAGTATGGAGAGGATTGATTCATTCCTCACAGCTCAAAATCTAAAATGCAGAAAGAGTCAGGAAATACATACTGACATCCTCTGAAAGCTGGGGAAACTCATAGATATGTTCACAAGTGTTCCTACTGCTGGGGATGCAGAAGCCGAAATCAAAGTCAAAGTTTTTCAGCAGGCGTTCCCGGAAATAGTGCCGTTCAATCATCCGGAAGTTTGAGACAGGTTTGTCTCCTACTGTGAACTCCACTCTGCAAAATAAACTTCTGTGAGCCCTACGTTGCCTCTTCCCTCCTCCAAAGTCAACCCCAAACCCAGCCTCTCCTACAAATAAGTTGAATGTTTTCCCCACAAGAAACAATGGTACTCACGTAGCACCAACTGTCCGGAGGCGGAGAAATGCTGGTGTGAACTGGTAACGGACAAAACGTCCTGCACTGATATCTACATCTCCACCCTCCTCTTCCTCCACCTCCTCCTGGTGATCTGAAAGAATACACAGAGTCTTGAGTGTACTACCTAGATATCACCAGTCCACACAGCACAGTGACAACCAACTAATGCACTGACACCAACAGTGAGAGTGACCCCACTTATCATGTAGTTGCTGTAATGTCAGGCCTTGTGCTAATAGTGTAGACTCCTCGTATCAGCTCTATGAGGTACTATCGTCTCCAGTTCACAGATGAGAGCGCTCAAGCTCAGAGGAGTTAAGTAATATGTCCAAATTCCAAAACAATAAATCACATCAGCAGGGATTTTAATCCAACTCCATCTGACTCAAGCCTGTTTTTAAACACCATGTTATTTACTTTGTATAATTTGAGGGCTCAGGCTACAGTTCAAGATGAAGTTTGAAACATAAGCTGGATATGAGGCCTCCTACATAGCTCTGTATAAATAGACTGGGCCTGTTCTTCACTGAGTTGAAGTGCTATCCATGAACTAAAAGAATTAACACTACAAAAGGTAAAGCTAAAGTTCCTTCAAATAATACAAACATTTCTGACAAACAGCAAATGGAAGACACCGAGTTATAGTACTTCCTTGGACCTGATGTCCATTCCAGACCTTTCTAGACCCAACCCTCTGACCACTTGGAAAGGGTGAAAGATAGAGGTAATGAACCATGTGAGACCTTATAAGGTTAATGCTGACCTCTGGCCTGCTCCATTCCTGAACCCAGGAGATGAAAGAGTTTTAAAAATTAATTCCAGCGGGGTTGGGGATTTAGCTCAGCGGCATAAGCACTTGCCTTGCAAGCAGGCAGTTGTGAGTTCGATCCTCGGTACCAATGAAAAGGAAAAAGAAAAAAAAAAAATTTAATCCCGGGGCCAGGGGTTTGGCTCAGCAGCATAAGTGCTTGCATGGCAAACATGAGGTCATGAGTTCAATCCCCGGTACCAAAAAAATAAATAAATAAATAAAATTTAAAAATAAAAATTAATCCCAGAATTGTTTCATTGTGAATAATAAGTCAGTACCTCCAGTGTCCAGTATAGGAATTTTCCCCAGGACTAAGCTGAACATGGGTGCTTTCAAGATCAATCACCTTGGTCTGTGTTCCCCAAGAACACTGGCAAACCTACACAGCAGTGGTTCATACCCAGGAACAAGAGCCCTGGCTCCACCAGTGTGGTTCAAACAGCCAGGGCAAATCTAGCTCAGGGATTCAAAGCTATCACAGCAAGTGCTGCAGGAAGGCACTGATTTAGTGTGAAGCTTAAGGGAATCAAGATCCTTAAATGAGACTGGAAGACTGAAAATCTAGATCTTTTTATAGTTGAGTTTTATACTGAAATGATTTTTCTAGTCTAATCCAAACCCACATACCTGTGATAACCCTGGGGTCCTTAAAATGTCCTAATGTACCGCAGTTATGTACCTTAGATAAGAACACCACAGACTCAGAAAGCTACCTAGCCCTGACTGACCATCTCAATATAAAGTAAATAACTGTAAATTTGGGCTTGTAGATATCTTGATCAGTCCATTGTAGATTGCAGCAGCATAAGTACAGAGTGCAGGTAATCCAGAGCTCTAGTTTGGCTTTGTGATTAATCTGAACTGAGACTTCTGAGATTTGATTCTCAGGAAAGTCTTTTATTCTTTTCTTTTTTGCATGCTGGGGATGGACATGCTAACCTCTGACATGCTAAACAAGAGCTTTTCACTGGGCCATTATGCCTAACCTAAGATAGTATTTTGATTTCTCTGCAAGAGTAATACCTGCCTTACCAAATTTTTAGGCTCGTTCTGAGTAGCAAATCATATGAGAAAAAAAAAAACTGCAAAATAAGTTATCACAAACTAAGTTAATACTAAAATATCTTCGGCGATGTTCTAACAAAAGACTAACTCCAGAGGGCGCTAAGTCTCCAGTAAAGTGCGTCAAAGACTTCTGTGGTCCCTTGGCCAGAAATTAATCACCTGGGACTGCACAGCAAGAACAGGAAGATTTTAATAAAAATCAATTTAACAAATCCCAAACAGACTGGTTTGTCTGTCTGTACTAGAAAATGGAGATTTAACTGAACAGATTTCTGGTGGTAAGGTCTGAGGAAGGGGTTGCAAGTTCCATGTTTGGACCAGAAGGTGGCAACAAGCAGCTCTGAAATAGCCCAAGATGCAGACCTTCAAATAGAAAGAGGGAGAGAAAACTCAAGGAGCTAAAGGCAAATAATACGATGAAGAAGAGCCCCTGACCACAGATGAAATGAAATCTAGCAAAAAGCAAGCTGTTCTTTGTGCCCGAGATGATGGTGCCCCTTGATACCTAATTAAACAGCTGGATTCCCTGCCGTAACATTTCTACAACCAACAGCTTGGACAAAGTACTCTTATAGCCTGCTAGATATGTAAGAATAAACTTTTTTTTTTTCTTCCAGTACCGGGTATCGAACTCACGACTGCCTGCTTGCAAGGTAGGCACTTAGGCCGCTGAGCTAAATCCCCAGCCCCCCTGAGAATAAACTTTTACTACAAAAAAAAAAAAAAAAAAAATCAATCCAAATGTCAGTTTACTGGGAAACCCAAGGCACTATTTAGAGATAATGAGAGGACAGAAAAGTTTACCTCATGGTGTAGAATGGAATACTCAGTATCACCTTTCTAAGAGGACTCAAGCCTCAGTCAGATTTTTCATTACAGTTTAATATCCTTTCCTAACTGGAGGCAATACGATATGATGAAAGAGTACAAGACTCAGAAAAGTATCACCTGGAAATTCTCTCAACTCTCCTCCTTACAGAAGTGTGAAGATTACATAAAGTAATGCAAACAGTGACCAACACAGTATAGACACTCAATAAACACCAGCATACACACACAACCCAGCACACCCAGCAGGGAAAGCTACAGGAAAAGGGCATGGAAGCAGGACACATCGTGGTCAAGAAACAGGATGGAATGGCACACAAATACCCAGCTTTCAGAGATCTTTTGCTCAAACTATCAGGTGACCCTACAACACTGAGGCCTACCTGCAATGCAAGGTTTGGCAATCTCAAAAAGCACTGTCCCCGTCTCCAAATCTCGAATTTTGAAGCGAGTAAAATCAATACTGTAGATGTTGTCTTCCGGTTTACACAAATAATCTGAAAAGAGACAGATCAACACAATTATATAATCTTTCAAAATATGATTTAATTCTCAAGGTTTTTGTTTTGGTTTGGCTTGACTTTTTGTTTGATTTGCAACATTGGGGATGATATCCAGGGCTTCACACAATTCACGCACATCCCTGTACCTAATTCTCAAATTCTGAAGCAAACTCAGTTTTATTTTTATTTTCCTATGTTATTTACTTATACTACTTCTCCTCCAAAACATTCTCTGGTGTTAAAATAAGACAAAGTTATATGGACAGAATCAGGAGGTCTAAGAAAGAAACACAGAAGCCAGGGCACACCTATAAATCCCAGAATTTGTGAAGCTGGGACAGAAAGATCACCAGAAGTTTCAGGCCCATCTGGGCCACACAGTGAGGTCAAGGCCAGCCTAACATACACACCAAGACCCACCCAATAAATAAATAAAAGCAATACAGAGCAGGGACTTGGGTTGGGTCAAAGAGTATCAAAAAACTTTCAGAAACAGAGATACAAAAAGGATTTCTTGCTGGGAATTTAGCTCAGTGGTGTAAGCACTTGCCTGGTGCTTACACTCACAAGGTCATGAGTTTAATCCTCTGTACCACCCCAAATGTATTTCTTTGGAAACACCTACCACCCTATCATTATCAATCTGGATATGAGAACAAGATGGAATTTCTTTTAGTCCATTTTAAAACTTACTGATGACAGATAATATAATGTTTGCTAACCGTTAAAGCAGGTCAGCAAACTTTTCTGTAGAGTCAAATTATAAATAATTTAGGGCTTGCAGCCATATAGTTTACCTTAACCATCACTCAACTCTCCTCATTGTAATACAAAAGTATCCGTGCATAATAAGCAAATTAAAGAATATGACTGTATCAAATAAAACTGTATTTACAGATGCTGAAATATGATTTTTTTGTTCTTTTGGTTTGTTTTTGGGAACAAACTGTGAAGCAAAACTCATATCTTTACACCACTGAGCTACATCGTCAGTCCTTTTTTTTTTTTTTTCAATTCTGAAACCTGGTTTCCTTGAGTTGCTAAATTGCCCAGGCTTCCTTTGAATTTGTTATCCTCCTGCCTCAGTATCTCAAGACCACTGGAGTTACAGGCATATGCCACAATGCCTGGCTTTGAAATAGCAATTTTATATCATGTTACTAATTTTAAAGTTTATTTTCAACCACTTTTTAAGGTAAAAAAACATTCTTAGCTGGTGGGATGTACAAAATCACGTAATGAAGATAGGATGAGAGGACATAGGCCTGTAATTCTAGCACTTGGAGGTTGAGGCAGGAGAGGAGGATCATCAGTTTGAGGCCAGATTTGGCTACATTTGGCTACATACAGTTCAAACTCACCCCAAACTACATAGATCCTGTCTCAAAAAACAAAACAAAATCACATGGTGGGTCTCATATACAAAGCAGCAGAATGAACTGGTCAACTACAACACACTGAAGTACAGCCTATAACAACCTAAGGAGTTGTTATATACATTATATATTATACAAAATAGTATCCATTAAAGAAAATTCCATTGACTTCTTTTTACTCCTGACTGCATCTTCCCCTTGACCCACTCTGACACTTTACCCTAGATTGCTTGTTATTCTTTCACATTTTACAAGCTATCTCCAATAAGATGACAAACTTGAGAGCTATTGCTTATTCTGTAATTGCAAAACTGGCTGACATTGGCTCTGTGCCTTGAGAGGGCCCTCAACAAATAACTGAAGCACAGAACTGATGAACTCTTAACAAGAGTAACAAAATCCAAGTTCTGGGTCTGTGGCTTTCTCTGAGAAGCTGCCTAGGTGGGTTTTTGGGAAACAACATCACTCCCAAGCTCCGAAATGGGATCTGAGTGCCCACTGAAACTGTGGCTTCAAGGGCCAGGCATTCAAATAACCAACTCATCCTTTAACAGGAGGAACCAACCGTGAGTCTAGAGAGGTCAGACGCTTATATTTCTATTCTTCCCATGCCACGAATGAAAGTTTAAAGGACAGAGGCACTTTTTTCAGTTTCAGTAAAATTCAGCTACAGTACTGTCTAAAGATGCACTCAAGCATGCAGGGACAAGGACACTGAAATATCCACAATCAAACTATTTTAGCATATGCGGATTCCCTTGGCCACTGGATCCAAATGCACTGTTCGCGAACTCCCACTCCCAAATTAATGGCGCTGTCACCAGCAACCTGAGGTATAGTCAAGCAGCCCTGGTCTAAAGCAATTCACAGACAACACTATGGCATCCTTCCTGGCAGCAGGCTGGAAGTGTGCAAGGGAGTGGGGTGGATAGGGAAGTCACACCCAACTACGCGACTGTAAACTCCTAGGGGAAAATAGCAAGACACTGTCAAAGGGTTGGCTTAGCAAAGAAAGAGAAATCCAGAACAGAGAGTACACAACATATTTCTTCCCACGTTCCCTCGCATCAATGAAAAGATCTAGGAGGGTTACCATTATGCAAAATTTGCCTTTCGGAAATTCTTACATAACCCTCAGTTCGCTAGAAAAAAATGGCAAGAGCAAGATTCACATGTGGGAGTTTGTACATACAGAGAAACTTTATTAAGATTTTCTTGGTGGCACAGCTTTTAAATTTGCACGAAATACCACGCGGCGATGTGTGCGGAAGAAGGAAGTGCCCACCTGCACACAAAAGGGCAATGAATGCCTGGGACCCAAAGGGGAGGAGACCGAGGGAGGCTGCGAGGGGGAGGGGCTGCAGGGGCCGGCGCCCGCGACGCGCGGAACCGCAGGTGGGGGACCGCATCGGGCCGGCAGGGCTGACGGCTGCCGCGGGAGCGGGGGGCCGGCGCGTGGAGGGAGCCTGGCGGGGAGCGGGGGCTTGGCCGATGGCTGCGAGGTGACTGGGCTGAGGGACCCGGCACAGTGAGGCCCCTCAGATCTCAGGGGGAAGCCAGCCTGGCCGGATTCTAGCACCTTTTGCAGCCGAGCCTAAGGAGAACCCCTTCCCACCCGGGCCCGGCGAGGGCGGCCCGGAGGTCTGGGCAGCGAGCAAGGGAAACGCGGCCTGGCCGGGCAGGCGGCCCGAGTGAACCCTCTCGCGGGCGGACCGGCTGAAGGCTACGGGGCCCCGGGGCTCGGCCCAAGCAGCACTCACTCTCGGTAACCCGGCTGAGGCGCAGGACGTGCTCGGGCCGGATGGTGTCCAGCGCCAGTAGCTCCTGCTCGGTGACCACCGTCCCGATGCCGTCGCCGAACGCGTGTTGGGGCGCCTGCCGCCGCGCCTTGAGCCGGTTCAGGACGCCGCCCCCCGCCTTCTTCTTCTCCTCCTTGCCAGCCACCAGCCCCCCGGACCCAGCTGCAGTCCCCGCGGCCGAAGCCTTGGGGTTCGACCCGTTCATCGCTCCGCCGGCAAGATGGCCGCCGCCTCCACAGCGCCGTAACTATGGAGAGCGGGGCGGGGCCGGCAGGGCAGCGGGGAGGTTCTTTCTCCAATTTTGGCCCTGCCAGGTGTGGGGGGGGCGGGGAGGCGTGGCCAGGCCTTAGGACCTCCACACTGTCACTCAGGCTTCCAGTGTCACCCCACAGGTATCAAATACGTATCTTACGGTCCAATGAATTTGTCATATAAACTGAAAGGACATCTTGAAAAACATTTAATATAGTTTGCATATAATACAACTTAAGACAGTGCTTCCTATGCAAAGGCAGCCCCAAGACAAGCCTTCCAACTAGATTGCAGGAACTAAGGCTTCCTGTGCCAGGTCCTGGACTAAACATTGCGCGAGGCTACAGGAAATTTAAGGATGAAGGTAGAGTTTGGGTCTATCTTGTTCACCACCGTAGTACTGCCAAATTAGCAAATGCCTGGCACGCACAGTAGATGCTTAACAAGGACATACTTTTTTTTTTTTTTTTTTTTGTGGTGCCTGGGATTGAACTCACGACCTCACGCTTGCCAAGGAAGCGCTTATGCCACTGAGCTTACCCCACCCGCTCAATAAGGAACAAATGAAATTTTAAATACTGTCCTCTATCCTCCGTGTAGGAACTCCCACTTCTTGGCAAGACAGTGAAGTGGCAGTTCATTATGACAGCCAAACAACTAGGAGCCAGAAGACAAACTTCCCTGGTTGCTGTATGAGGTGCAGCAAAGGTGCTAGAGAGCACAGGGGAGAGGTTGGTTCGAGCGGGGTTGGGGGGTTGGAGGATTTACAGAAGTGACATTTCCACTGGACCACAGAAATTAACTGATTTCACCCAGTGGAGGCCAATAAGGGAAAGGCTGCCCCTTAGGATTCCTGAGGGATTGGAGGCTTGGAGCTGATTTATGTAAAGTGTCTGTCGGATCTGATGTCACCTCTCAGCCAGACAGAATAAAACCCCAGCCCTCTCGTGACCATCAGCCTCAAGACCTGAGTTAGACAGGGCAGTGCTGGGTCCCTCTCACCTGCTGGGAGGAAGCTGGGAGGAGACTGAGATGGGCTGCCCTGCCTTGAAGTGTTCCTCATGGTCCAAACCTGACTCCACTCAGCTGCCCAGTGAGGTGGAACAGTATGTGCCAAGTTCCTTTCTAACCATTGTCCTGCCACTTGAGAGATTGGCATCCTGTGGCACTTACCATACTGTTCCAAAAATGTGTTTTAAAAGTTTTTTCTTTTGCAGACAACTTTTTGAACCATTCAACTATGAGTAGTTCCTGAAGCATTTCCAGAACTTTTAATGTGGTATTTGTGATAGCCAAGAAGGTGATGGAGTATGTAGTCCCTGCAGATTCGCTCACTAAACATTTGTTGTCAAGGCACCAATACCAGAATTACCTGGCTCCTAGTTTTTTTTTTTTTTTCTTTCAAGGGATGGAGACAATTATATTAACTGCCTTACCTGCTATTCCACACCCAGGAATTTAACCTACATGTATACCCGAAGATGTTTACCCCAAGAACATTTTTAACACTGATTTAACTGTTGTAAATTACAGTTGGGTCCATCTTTTACAGCTGTTAAAAAGACTGAGCTTCAGTTATATGTACTAGTATGGAACAATTTTAAAGATAACGTTGAGTGGGAGCTAGTTGTGATGGTGCACACCTTTAATCCCAGCTCTTGGGAGGCTGAGACAGGAGCATTGCTGCAAGTTTGAGGCCAGCCTGGGCTACATGGTGAGTTCAAGGCCAGCCTGAACTGCATAGCAAGAACATGTCTTTAAAAAAAATGTATATATATATATGCAAGGCAGATTCCTACTTGTTTAAAAATGTAGATATTTCTGTGATTATAAAGGAGTAAGTCTGGATATATATTAAAATATTAACCTTGATTACTTCTGAAATTATAGAGTTAAAAGGAATATATTCATTTTTGACATCTTGAAGCTACTTCTATACTGTTTTATGACAAGCATATAATCATGGGCTGCATGTATGCTTTTGGTGGTGGTGGTGGTGGAGACAGGGTCTCCCTGTGTAGGCCAGGCTGGGCTTAAACTCACACTGTTTCCCAGGCTGGCTCAAACCCTTGGTGATCCTCCTGATGGCTGGATTATAGACATGCGCCATCATGCCCAACTTTTTCAAAAGGAAAACATCTAAAATTCTGTGTCTAAGAGGCAGACTTTGTGCCAAAATACATTTATTTTCTCCTAAACTTTAAAAGCAACCTCAGGACTTGCTGAGGTGGTTAAGAGGGCTTGCTTGGCTAGCATACACAATGCCCTGGATTTTAATCTCCAGCACCATCACAAAGGGGGTCACCAAACCAGTTGTAATCCTAGCACTCTGTGGAGCTGAGGCAGGATGACAAGTTTGACCAGAGCCTGAGCAATTTAGTAAAATTGTCTCAAAATTTAAAAAGGGCTGGAGACGTAGCTCATTGTAAAGGCCCTGAGTTTAATCCTCAGTCACACACACACACACTCATTAACACCAAGGTTTCCTAGGACTATACATAGGGAGCCTTGAACACAAAAGCTAGCCTCCCTTTCACTCCAGCAACCGGGTACTCTATGAGTTCTTCCAGCCTCTGTAAGAACTGGGACAGTGGCTGGTTTCCAGGGCAGTCCCAGAGAAGCCAGGTGCTCTGTCTCACATCAGGCCAGGCAGGTGGAGCCGAGTTGGAGCAGCCAAAGTAAGCACAAGAGGGCTTTTCTGAGACTGGGAACACAGTCCTCTCCACAGCCTCCTTGAAAATGGCATGCGTGCAGTCAGCAGGCCAGGGCTGGGACAGCAGGCACCCCTTGTGTGCCGGGACTAAGAGCCAGTCATTTCTCTAATGACCAAATTATTCACTCCCTGGCTGAGGGTTTTTAAAAAAAAAAACACTAATTTATTATTTATAGCCCACCTGCTTCCAGAGGGTTTCTAGCATATTTCAAAGTCTTATTAAAGTATGATTGGTAAGTAAAAATTCATACAGCCCTGTGGAAAGCAGTACTTCCAAAATTTTTAATGGATGTATTGTTTGATCCGGTAATTCCTTAAAGGAATTCTAGAGAAAAAAATTTTCACATATGTACAAGGATGTATGGACAGACATGTTCACTGCAGCAATTTGTACTTACAAAACATGAGCACTCATTTAATGTTAATTGGTAGGGGGGTGAGTAAAATAAATCACAATCTAATCATAAAATACTGTGTAGCGCTTGAAAGGAAATCTCTATGTACCAACCTACGTATATGCAGAAATTCTCTAAGACATATTAAGTAAAATTCTTGAGCCAGGTGTGGTGGCTTATGCCTGTAATCCCAGCACTCGGGGAGGCTGAGGTGGGAGGATCGTTGAGAGTTTGAGACCAGCCTGGGCTACAAAGTGAGCTCAAGGCCAGCCTGAACTGCGTAGTGAGACCCCATCTCAAAAAAAAAAAAGACAAAAAAAAAAAGGCATATTAAGTAAAATTCTCTTAAGATATACTGATTGTGTACAGTATATTTAGAAGCCCATCTTTAAAACATTACGTCATGTCTATATATATTTTTGTATATATTTTATGTTATAAATAAATATATAATGGGTTGGGGATTTAGCTCAGCGGCATAAGCACCTGCCTTGCAAGCAGGCAATCGTGAGTTCAATCCCTGGTACCGATAAAAACGAAAAAGACCAAAATAAATAAATAAATAAAATGAAAGGTATCAGACTATCACCTGTATTATCCTCTAGGGATTAGAGGGACAGAGATAAAGATAACTTTCATATTTTGTGCCCTGTATAATTTTTAAAAAGTATTCACATATTAGGGGCTGGAGGTTTAGCTCAGTGGCATAAGCGCCTGCCTTGCAAGCAGGCAGTCGTGAGTTCGATTCCCAGTACCGATAAAAAAAAAAAAAGTATTCACATATTGGGGCTGGGGATTTAGCTCAGCGGCATAAGTGCCTGCCTTGCAAGTATGCGGTTGTGAGTTCGATCCCTGGTACCGATAAAAACAAAAAAGACAAAAAAAAAAAAAGTATTCACATATATATTGATATATTCTTATATCACTAAATCTTAAAAGCTTACCTGTTTTTTAAGGTTACTTTTTTTTGTGAGGAATGGTACAGTAATTAATAACAGACTCATCAGCCATCAGCATATGCACTAAGTCTTAAAAAGTTTTTTTGTTTGTTTGTTTGCTATGTATATCAAGCTGGCCTGGAACTCACAGAGATTTTCCTACCTTAACCACCCAGAATCAGACGTATGTGACAACCACACCTGGCTAAAAGGTTTCTTTCTAAAAGTAGTATATCATGGCATTAAAAGCACAAGTTTTGGAATCAGTAGGCCCATGATTTGCTCTGCCACATCCCAGCTATGCTTTGGGCAGATCATTTTTCTTCTGAGCATGCTAGTCACCATTTTGCCTAGGGTTGTTATAAAGAAGACACACAAAATAGCAACAAAAAATACTAGGTGCAGTGGTACATATCTTTTTTTTTTTTTTTTTTGCAGTACCAGGGATCAAACTCACAACGTTGTACTTGCCAGGCAGGCACTTATGCCACTGAGCTAAATCCCCAGCCTCACATACCTATAAATACTAACTATTCTAAAGGTGGGGCATGAGGATCACAAGTTCAAGGCCAGCCTGGGCATATTACTGAGACCTTGTCTAAAAATAGGGAGGGGGGCACCTGTGGGTATAACTCAGTGGTAATACACTTGCCTAGCAAGTGCAAGGCCCTGAATTCAATTTCGATTATGGGGGAGGAGGGTACTATGCTGATGCCTGCAAGTGTGCCAGTGAAGGTCACCACTATAAATGGCCTTCCTCCAGGATCTCTACACAGACACATTATGCAGGATGCAGCCACCACACCACGGAGCTGGATGGGAGAGTGCAGGGACTGAAAAGTATACTCAAGTCAAGAGCTAAAAGGAAATGAGTTGGGGGCCAGGCCTTGAGAAAACAACAAATGCAAATGCAAATGGAAGCAAGTGGAATGACAATGTAAGTGGTAAGAACAAACAAAACCAAGATTGAGTTTTGCCAGCTCCAGGACCTCCATTCTCCACCTACTTCTGCCTTGACCCCTCATCCCCCTTACAGCAAGAAGTTTTCCAGTAAGCACTGGCAAATCTCATCTCTCTTCCTCTGTGGGGGCTGGGGGCAGTACTAAGTATGGAGAAAGGTCTGGCACACTGGCTCCAGCCAACCGGGAGCCTGATTTCCTTAGTAAGATTAAGATCTGGACCCACGGAGTGGTCCAACCCAAAGCCGGCACTTAGCCCAGGATTTTCGGTCAGACAATTTCCCTCCTGCAACTCCCTAGAGCAGGGATTCTTCAGGTCTCTTCCCCATTTGGCAGCTCATCCAAAAGTACCTGAAATAGTAACAGCTAACTCTGAATTAGTAAAGAACTCCAGTTATCGGTAGGCTCAACCTTGGAATGAGCCTCTGTGGGCCTTGTGGATCATTTGAGCCCTGGGGAAACTCCATCCACATTGGCCTCATTCTTGGAGCTGAATGCTTAAAGGGTAACATCTTTCCCCCACAGAAGCAGCAGCCTTCATGCCTACCTGGGGAGGGGAAATACAGCACGGAGGTTCTAGAGCCACCATATATAGTGGAAAATTTCCCTCCTGGGAAATGGGAGGCCAGAGCGTAATGATTAAAAGTTCTGCTTTAAAATCTCAGTTCTGCCTTTTGCTGGCTTTGTGGCCTTGGGCAAGTCTAATCACCTCTCAAAGGATAATACCAGTGGCCTTGTAGATTAGGCAACTAAGATGTTAAAATATTTGGTCTACACCATTTTAAGGATCCACTAAAGGATAGCTGTAATTACTGCTTTAGAAAGAGCATGGGTTTTGATGGCAGATACACTGGGCTCAAACCCTGATTTAGCCATTTACTGACCAGCCTGAGGCAAATGACTAAACTTTTTTGGGCTTCATTTTCCACAGCTGTAAAAAACTGCCCATAAATTATAAGAAAAAACTCCTTTCTGCATTTTGCCCTTCCCAGTGTATACTCATCACTGCTAACTCATCAAAAAAGAAAGGAGAGAAAAATACCCTGTAACTTAGCTTGTCGCTAACCCATCATGGAGGCTAAGGGAACAGTTGAGAGAGCAGCTACAAGCCAGGTTATACTTGGGGGAGGGATGGCCAGAGCCAGTGTCCCAGCGACAGCAGAGACGAAGTACAGTAAGCCACATTTCACTGACTGGCAGGTCAAAATGGGCAGGCAAGGCTTCATAGGACATCACTCCCTTCAACAAATGCCCTGGCAAAGAGAAAGCAAGAGATACAAGGCCAAATAGGCAATAGCTTCCAAAGTCATCACGACCAAGTAAGCCTTCCCTGGGTCTCCCTCTTCCCACCAACACATCACCTCTTGGTAATAAAAGTTCAAACTCAGTCCCAGCACAGAGTGTCACTGCAAATTGTTTATTAAAACACAAAGCAATGGACAGTGAAAAACATCCTGATGTTTTTACTTTGTGGTGGGAGTGGGGTGGGGCGTGGAAAGGATAGGGACAGATGGAGACAGCCAGAAGGAAAGACAGCTCTATCCACCCCCACTGCTTCCCTGGCCAGCCAGGTTCAAAGCCCCTCAAGTACATCTTGCTGTGCTGCTGCTGTAAATGCATGTTGTAGCTACAAAGAGTTGGTCTGACCTCTGCAAAGAGAGGATGGGAAACTAGAGTAGGAGCTACCAAGAACTCAACACTTTCTCTGATACTCGGTACCAAATAGAGCACAGGCCCAATTTGGAAGGGCAGGGTTGGTTTCCTGACAAGCGAGGTTAAGCTAATGATGGTTGAAGAGACTGCCCTGAGCCCAGAATGGGCAACTGGTCCTAGCCTGGGAGACCTTCGTGGAAGGAAAAAGTAACATTCCTCAAATCCAAGGAGGGAGCCAATCCAGGGTCCAATTTCTTCTCATTCCCTGGATCATGACAAACTAGGGGAGTCAGGAATGTCGTTCCTGGTTTTGCCAAAACGTCTCTCTTGCCAATTCTCCCCTCCTACCTGGCAACTTAGCCTCTCCTTTCCCGACAGTTGTTCTTTGAAAGGACGGAAAGCACACTTCAGTTTGTTGTTGTTTTTTCTCATATTGAAATAAAGCACTGAAGCTCAAAATAGAGGTGAGAATGGAGTCCTGCTTTTCCGGGTGGTATGAGCTCCCATCTCACAAAACTGCCTGGATGCGAGTAGTGCCAAGGCCCTCTCTGCCAACTCGAACAGGCACTAGTAGTGTTTCCCTGGCTGCCAGCACAATCCTGGCTCCTTGTTTTTCTACTCCTGGGAGGGACCCGTCCCAAGAGACCAGCCTGTTCTTTTCCTGCCAACCCAGCCAGTCCCCAAATCATCTGCACTTATCAAGATGCTGTGGCCACCCAAGACAAGCTGGACAAATGCAGCTGGGGGTGGACCAACTAGAAGGGCGGCAAGCCTCCCACGTGCAGAGACCTATCCTCCCCAGACCGCTGGCCCTCCGGTGCCAAGCTGCTCTTGTAACAAGGTAAGGAAACTGAGTCCTCTTACCCCCGGAGAGGTCCAAAAACAGAATCCTAGCTCAAATTGAAATGGAAAACTGCTCTGGTCTCTCTGAAGCTTCAATGTTAAGGCTTCTTTACAATTTTCTTACAGCTCTTTGATCCCTAATTATATTTGCCCCACAAAAAGAGACAGATTTCTGAGCAGGTTCTGGGTGTTTCTGGTTCTGCTTCAGAATGCTCTCACTTAGTCTTACCCCAGTCTCCTTCCTCAAGGGCCATAGTAGGAGGCCCACAGCACACCTCCCCCAGCCTTGTCTTTAAGAAACAAAACAAAACAGGAGCATCTATTAGTCTCTCACTTGCTCTCCTAATTCCTTTTGGAGGCATGGAGGGCAGTGTTACATGTTGCCACATGATGCCATTAAGGCTCCTCAAGACAAGAAGACACTTGAATTATGTCAGAGTAGGCCAGCCAAGAGAAAGCAGCATAGGGAAGCAGCCCACGACCAGGACTGTGGGACCCCACACACACACCTGAATCTAGAGGGAATGCCCACCCTGGCTCGGAGCAGGAGAGGAAAAGGCACTGTGCTGACCGGGGTGGGTCCTTCCCCAATGCCCAAGGGAGAGAACCTGCTAGTTCGATCCTGGGCATCCCCTGGTAAGCCAATTTCTAGGGAAAGGGACCTAAGTGGTAGGAAAAGGAAAATACTGATTCTGTTTTCTGAAGGTCTCAGCTGAGATTCTAGAAGCCAGGGTTAGGCCTTCCCAGAAGAAACTAGGCAAGCCAAAAAGAGAAATTCCTTAAAACAGAAGCTTCTCCAAAAAGATAAGCAAGTCAAGCCACAGTTCCAAAACTGGATCAAATAGTTCCCAGGCACAGAAAAGGAGAGAAAAGTTTAACTCAGCACTACCCCATCTCATCAAAGCCTACAAGACTTCTAATGTGACCTCAGGATCTCCAGGTCGGTGGGAGCCAGAAAACATGACCACACCCTCCAAACCACAGATGGCCCTGCAGGTCAGGGCTGGTCCTCCTGGCAGTCTGATACCACTGCCACTTGAAGATTATCTATTAAATCACCAGAGCTCAGGATATCCACTGAGCAACTTTTCCTGCTCAGGAGTAGACTTTTCAGAAAAATGGATTTGGTTTAAGGGATACAGACCCCATAGATAGTTTCTTGGCACAATGTTTCAGCCAGCATGAGTAAGGCCCCAGTGGTTACTTACTGTAAGCTGCTTACTCACCACTGGCTAGCCCCTGACCCAAACCAGACCAGACTACAGATTCTCAGTCCATCTTCAGCAGATGTCTTTCTGTGGTTCTCACAGAAACTGGACTAGAGACACGTCTCTTGTCTTGACTGGCTGGGTTCAATGGGCCCTAAAACTTGGGACAGTGTAAATCAAAAGAGATGCCCTGGCCTTCCTTCCCTCTCTGTAAGTGCAGCCTCTCAGTTCTCTCACTAACTCAAAAATACAGATAGGGGAACAAACAGTGCAAAAAGCAAAGATGAACAGAGTAATTCTTAGCATACACAATACAAAAATAAAAATAAGGCATGCCCCATCCCATCTCTTTAACCCAAACTTCATGTACCTATATCATCTTGAAGGAGCCAAGAAAAAAAAAAAGCTTTCAAGTTCAGCATCAGAGGCCAGCTATAGAGCCAGCCCTAGGCAGCGTTGGTAGCTGGGTGGGCTCTGCTCCAGGGGAATCTACCCCAGCCCCCACCATACTTCTTCCCATTTCCTCACTTCCCCTTTAGCTTTTGTTAGCCACAGAAAGATGTTCCTTCCTTTTGGACACAACCAGAGAGGAAAGCACCCATCCCTATCCCTGGGGAAAGGGGTAAGCTTGGAAATAGGCAGAAGCAAAGCTGCTTGGCTTACAGTACCGTTAGGAAATGGCCCCAGGAGTCACGGTTTCCTTCTGAGACACTGAGTCACCGAAGGGACGGGCTAAGATGAGGAGGCGGGACCCGTCCCCTCCTTCTCAAGAGATCCAGGCAAACTAACAAACAAGGCAAAATGTAGGCAACTAGTCCTTCATTTTGTCTTATCCACTGGCAGTGGCCCAGAGCTTTGGGGGTTATGATGGAAAAAGAATGAAAGCCACCACCAGAAGCCCAACTAGTCAAGATATCTACCATCCCAGGCAGGTGGTCCCCAAAACCAGGGCTACAGTACCTCATTTCTTTAGAAGCAGAGAAGCTTCAGAAGCACTCCAGGAAATGCTCCTGACTGCTACTTCAGATCACAAGCCCTCCAGCTGCCTGACTTAGCACCTTAGGACGGAGGCCCAAGTCATGGTGAAAATAAGGAGTTACAATTCTCTAATGAATAAAAGCTGGCCTGGAATAACCACTAAGAGCCAAAGCCTGGATATGAACCCAAGAGCTATTTACTTTGTCACATAAGGAATAGTTCAGAGATACAAAGTCTCAATAAGCCAAACTCAAAATTAGACACATTCTAAAAATATGGGCCTGGCCGGAAATTCTATACTGTGATAGCCCAGGCTGAAGCTAATCCTGCTGCCTCCCATCCACAAAATTCCTTTTAGATTGGCTGGCTCCTACCTCATGTTGCCCTAACTGTGAAATGGATGACCATGGTCAGAAAGGAGGGGAACAATGAAGCTTCATTTCCTGTAGAAAACTTGCCAGAAATTCGAGACAGATACTTAGATGCTAAGGTTAGCTTTCAGAGCTGCCAGGATTATGGCCAACTGGGAATCATTCAACCTCATCATGCCAAGAACCTGACTACTACTTGGATAAGGAGATAAAAGGATGGAGAGGCACACTAGTAAGATCAACAAGAAACTGCCGGGCCAATACAGCCAATCAGTCCTAGAGCATTCTAGTTCCTGGTTGAACTGTGTCAAAGGATGCAGGGATAAATGAACATCAGATACTAGACACTCTAAACAGTGGTCAGTCACTTAGTAGGGCTCAAGTCTCTGAGGTTGCTCTTAAATTACGCTAACATAAGCCTTTTCTAATTCAAAGACTAGAAAAGACTTTTAAGGTCAAGTGTTCTGTTGCTGCAGGCTGGAAAGCATCCCTGTCCCCTGGCAGCAAGACCCCTCAAAAGGGCCAGTAAAGAACTGCTGGGTCAGGTCCTCCTGGCTGCTGGCTCAGAGATCCAGGAAGGGAAATACCAACAAGGTGAGGTGGTAGAGGATAAGACATTTAAGCAGAGAACTAAATCCCTATGTCTCCTTCCCTTTTTGGTAATAACTTAGTGGGTTGGTTAACAGGGAGCAGAAATTTTAAATGAGCCAGATGAAGAAAAAACCTGAAAAGAAATCAAGTCCCCAACAGGCACTGAAATAAAAATGATTTGCTATGGTGACAAGTCAGAGGCAATTTGAAGATGAGACATAAACTAATTAATCATGTTGGATACCTGACAGTCCTCTAACTAGCACAGGTCAAGGAGATAAGTGGTGATAAAGCTCAAATACTTGAGATGGACCCTTCACCGGATTAATCCAGAAAGCTTTCCAAGTAAGGAAGTATTTACTTTTTAAGCTTATTTCAACTCCTTTTGGCTTTACCACACATCTTATACACCTTCAGGAACACATTCTTTGAATCCCAGGACATCTTAAAATGTGGCCATGACTTCAGAACATATCCAGCTCCCATTGCTGGTCTTCTCAGGTAATAAAGATGACATTTCCTTGCTGCTAAATTCTAAACAAAATAAGGAACTGAGACTGCTCTGAGTTCAGAGTCCTTTCCACTACATATATAAATGAGAATCCTTGTCGGGAAGGACCCATTTACCTAAGTACCCCAGAGAGGAAAGAGACAGCTGGGGGCCAGCCACAGAGAGACTAGGACTGAAGCAGGTCTGGGACCAGGTGGTGGATAAAGACAATTCTCCACTTACTCTGCCTCTTTTTATCTCCTTTACCTTTTGTGTCTGTGGGTTTTTCTTTATCTTTCTTTTTTTTTTCCTTTTTTTTAGGGGGGTGAGAGGGGACTGTTAATCATTGTGAAAAACACAGAAACCAAACCAGCATGTTTGGTTTCTTTGCCACTCCCCTCCACCCTGCTCAGGATAGTCACTTATTCTCACAATCGGCAGAGGCAGAAGAGAGTTGGAATGAAGACTCCAAAGGCCACCAGGATGGGAAACATGAGGCTGCTGTTGTCTGAGGCATAGGGGTTGGGTGTGCGGGGGCCTGACTGCACCCGGTTCTTATTGGTCTGTCTTTTGGGATTAGACCCTTCATCATATTCTTCTTCTTCTTCTTCCTCTTCTTTCTTCTCCAGTCCTGGGTGAGGCTGCAGCTTTGGTACATCTAACAAAGAAAGAAAATAACTATTAAGTAAGGCCCACTACAGCATTAAAGTAAGACCCTTAAGAACAGCAGTAAGCTATAATAAGGCGAATCCTACAGCTGCAAACGGTGGTACATGCCTGTAATCCCCGAACTGTGGGATGCTAAGGCAGGAGGATTACAAATTTGAGCCTAGCCTGGGCAACTTAGGATACAGATCAGTGAAAGGCAGGTCTGTGTGTGTGTACACAAGCGTGTGCGTGTGCACATGCATATGCATGGCACAACCCTCCTGTGACCTAATCAGAGTCCACAGGAAGGAACAGAAATGGCAGAAAAAAAGTCTCTAGCCTACAGAACAGCAGAGCATTACGAATGCTAATCTTCCTCAGATTTAACTAAAAATTAGGAAAGGTGGTTCTGTCTCTCCCCTTCCTGCCCTACTTCTTCAGATCCTAGATTAGACAGGGCAAATACCTTTCAAATACTCCCCTTCCCTAAGCCCACATTTCCTATCAATTCATACAGTGACAGCAAGAGTTGCTCTACAGATTTCTGAACTCTGGCCCATACTGTACTTGTCTTGTCTGATCTTTGGGGGTTCAAACGCACAGCTGTTTGGTACAATCTTCCTAAATGTCATATCAGCAGTTAGGGGGACACTGAGACAAGAAAATGAGATCCTCAGTGCATTCAAAATGAGTTAGGGAAACATACAGAGGTTGGATGGAGAAAAGGCCACTCAGACACAAGCTTTCTCTGTAAAGTCAGACTGGAAAGCTGGCAGCCAGAATAATCTAAACCTTGAGAAAAAAAAGATACTGAAGACCGGCACAAGGTCAAAGTGGCATTAATAAATGACCTTTTGTCCCAGTGTAGTGCATAACACTGGAGTCTTTCAAAACCTACCAAGAACCCTAAGAGATTTTTCCTTTCGCCCTCTCTCTTAGAAAATAGATATCAAACAAGGAAATGGAAGAGGACAGGTTTTAGGCAATTCCAAACGACTACAAAGATCAGGCATCTCAGTAGATAACTTATTAATTCTGGCTTGTAGGGAAGTTAAAAAATTTTCCAAGATGAAACAGCTGATTAAATGATAGTAGCAAAAATAAACACATACTTTCCTTCAAAACCTGTGACTAGTACCCTATCATACTGTGTCCTCATCCATCTGACTCTGAATTTCCCACAGTATGGTTTAAAAGTGTTTCCAAAATAATGACCAGTCATTTCCCAAGGTTTCCCAAGGTTTTCCTTAACCCTAACCTTCAGCACAAATCAAAAAGCAGTCAAAAGCCGGGGGTTTAGCTCAGTGGCCTAAGTGCCTGCTTGGCAAACATCAGGTCGTGAGTTCAATCCCCAGTACCCTCCCCCCGCAAAAAAAGCAGTCAAAAGCCCAACTTACCTTCCACTGTCCCAGCCATGATGTAGAGTGCACAGACTTTGGGATTGTCATAGTACCCCTAGGAAGTAGGAAAGAGGGGTGAACCCCACACAGCATCAAACAACTTCCCCTCAGCCACTCTCGAAGCCCTTCCCTCTGTGATGAGTTACCTTAACAAACTCAATATAGAGTTTCCCTGTGAAGGTAGACACCTCCCCCTGGACACTCAGTTTCCCCTTTCTGATGCTCATAGGGATGATTTCATCGTGAGCTGTGCTGTGTCCAACACGATCAAAGATATCCAAGTCCTTCACCACGACATGGCCATTCAGTCGTACATCAAATACCTTCCAGGATTAGAAAGTAAAACAGTGTCAAAACCACCAATTCCTTCAAAACCTTTAAGGAATTGGAGATCATGCACCTGCCTAGGCTTCAAGTTCAAAAATAATTTAAGAAATGACAGTCTGGGTATACTCCACAGTGATTAGAGTCCTTTACCTGAGCCAAATCAAAAGCATGTTGCTTCACTGCCAAGGAGGTTTCATACAAAGAACAGAAACACAAAACTTAGCATGTAAAGGATGAAAACTTTACAAGAAAGGGCAGAAGGAACAGAGCTAAAAACAACAAGGTATTGAAAACTAAGGAGGGAGACAGTAACCAGGAAGGCCTTAATAGGACCAGTTAGTCACCAAGAACTAGCATTCTAGCATTTCTGATGCCAACCCCAAGGGAAACCCCCAAGTGCAAACACATGGGCAGTGTAACATAGCCTCTCTAGGGAGGCTCTTACACTCTCAGTCACCGTAACAGGGGACTATCCAAGAGTAGCAATGTCCCTCTGGTCAAGCAGGGCCTGACTGGGCCTTACCTTCTGCTGGGACTGTGCAAAGTAGACTTCAGCAAATTTCAACACTAGCACGTAGTCCCCCTCCTCTTTGATGGGCACTTCGTAGCCAAAAGTCTCCTCATTGTACCGCTCTGTTTGATACAGGATCTGATCCTCAGGATTAGAACGCAAGATTGGCAGTTTCATGCCATAATCTGAGGCTGAGGACAAAGACAAAGAGAAAGGACATTGGAGGCAAGACATAAGAGTAGAGACCCCAGAACTGCCAGTCATTTCCAAGACAATGCTAATCACCCTCCATGCCCCTCTGCACCTCCAAGCAGAGCTCACAAAAAGGCAGGAATCAGATAACCATTACCATGGAAGAGTAACATGAAAGAAACTAGACATCACCCAACAGCCCTTACAACCTTCACAGCAAGCTTTATAAAAGCACATTAAAATAACTTTTTTCCCAGCTGTCTGGAGAAACATGGGAAGAGAACAAGACTACTTCATGTGAAGAAACTGCTGTGATGCAGGTGCCTGGTTTCCGAGAGGGAAAGCTCAGAGAAACCTCCCGTATCCAGGGCGACAGTCAGGAACTCTAAGCAAGGTGATTAAGTCCAAATGTTTTTTTTTCTCAATCACAAAAAGCACAGAATCTAAACAGGATTATCTGGTTAGGAAAGTCTTTACTACAAATAAGATTCTAGCCTTGCTTTTTCAAAATTTTTCACTCAAAAAGATCCCAGGATGGCAAACACAAGCAGCTCATAAAAATAACGGTGATGTGGGGCTGGGGATTTAGCTCAGCGGCATAAGTGCCTGCCCTGCAAGCAGGCAGTCGTGAGTTCAATCCCTGGTACTGATAAAAAAAACGAAAAAGACCAAAAAAAAAAAAAAAAACCAATGGTGATGTGCAAGGATCTAATTTTCCTTAGGTCCAATCATCCTATCCCGCTTCCTGTAGACTCAAAAAGCTCCAACTACTCTTTTGAACATTTATTTCCTTCAACCAGCAGAACAGTTCTACCTGCGCCCAGCACAGTGTTGGGCATGTAGTGGCCACTGCCTATGTTTGCTGGTAAGAACAAACAGCAATAATGTGAATGAAGAGAAGCCGTGCCATTTTCAGCTTGAAGCTACAGCACCTAGAAGGAAAGAGAGTCCACAAGATCCTACTGGCACCCCTGGCTTAAGATATCCCAAGTCCTGAGTAGATACCTTTCATATTACACAAACTGACAAGAAATCAGCTTGAGCAAGAAAAAAAAAGTCCCCAGATACGGAGGTATCTGTAGTCCCAGCACTCTAGGAGGCTGAAACAGAATTGCCCTGAGTTCAAGGCCAGCCTGTACTACACTGCAAGACCCTGTCTTGAGACCCAGCCTCAAGAAAAATAAAAGACTGCCTTCTAATCTCACATGGTGACCTTAAAAGAGAGTTGGCCCTGAGATCCTCTGGGAGGTACCTATGAGCAGCATTCCCAGTGATTTTCTGAATCAGCAAACTTTCAAAAGCAGATATGGTGAAAAGTAAAAGATTAACTAAGACCCCAGGGGCTGAGGTCAACCCCCCCACCACAAAATAAACATAAATGTTAACAATTCCTATAAGTGACACTACCCATGAGATCAGATGGGCTCATAAGACAATGAAACAGGAAACTCACTTGTCACTTTTTTCTTCCTATCCCTTCTCAAGAAATCAAAAAGTAACCTTACAAACAGATCCACTGATAACATCTCCCAGCTTTTTAACAGATTCACTGATAACATCTCCCAGCTTTTTCCCAGACTCAAAAACCCATTTCCCAGGGCTGGGGATTTAGCTCAGCGGCATAAGTGCCTGCTTTGCTACAAGTGTGTGGTCATGAGTTTGATCCCTGGTACCGATTTAAAAAAAAAAAAAAAAAAAAAAAAAAACATTTCCCCTAGACATTCACCTATGAAGACTAAAAGATGTCTGTTTCTCTTCCAAATGAGTTCTAGGAATTTTCTTCTACCGTGAGGACTACAATCCTTACAAATCTGGAACATTAACTAGATTTGATTTATCGATACACAGAAAAGTTTGTGTACATGTGTGGGAGATCTTTTTTTCTTGCCAAATGGAAAAAGTGAGAAACTGACAGTAATGTGATCTGTAGCAGTCTCAGTCCTATGGCTTCGAGAATTCAGCTATGTGAACAAGTCACTTAGCAACCTGGCAATTAACTTTAAGTATTTTTCCTTTTAAAGCTCAGGCGGGAATAGCCATAAGCAAAGATACACTTGCCCAAACCTCAGAGATGGATAAGAGGATTTTTCTTTCCTTATTAAGCTTTCACAACTAAACAGATTTCTGAGCAGTGTGCTGTATTCTTCACCTTTAGAGAAATCTGTTTATGGCAGCTGAGTAAGGACATACAAACAATAAGCACTAAATAAATGCCTGAATTCTGAAGAGCTAAGAGATAAACTAAAAGAAGAAGGAAATAATAAAACTGGAAAACTGTAGCTGGGAAGCACAGAAGCGGGAAGGCCAGCATGACAGAAACCTGTTCTGTGTGAGAGCATTGCCATAAAATTCTTTGTAGCACTGCAGCACTGCTCAGCATCCTAACACTAGGCCTTCTAATCATTAGATGATTCTTCTGAATCACTAAGCCTCAAGTGAAGCTGATTCCTAAAGAATAATTCTGCCTGGCCATGGTAGCACATGCCGTAATCCCACCTCAGGAAGCTGAGGTGAAGGACTGCAAATTCAAGGCCAGCCTGAACAATTTAGACTGCTCTTGGCTCAAAGCTTTAAGAAAAAGGAAAGAGCTGGGGCCCTGGATTTCATCCCCAGCATTAGGTGGGGGAAATGGTTCTTAATGGACCAACGCAAGGAACCCAGGGATTCGATGACCTAAATCCTCTAACTGTGGACTTCCAGTACTTGGGAGTGGCCACAAATGAAGTACGCCCAGACAGTACATAAAGAGAATTCTAAACAAACCCCAGGGCCATAAGCAAATTAGAGGCGACAGTGACACTCTATCACTCATCCCATCTTTTAAACTCTTATCTACCTGGGCCAAACCCTAACCCTTCCCTATCAGACAAAGAGCTGCCCCAAAAGGGTCTTCCATAAGACTTCAGAATTAGTAATCTGATAGGCTCAGGCCTCCAGCCAGCATTTTCCCCCATGGGGCTATGTTCTGCCCTATTTTTAATTCCATGTAAAAGGTCATTGAGCTGGGGGAGGGGGGGGAGCAGCGGAGAGAAACTGACACTTATAACCTACTCTTAACAGAAGAGTCTTCGGCACCCTGTCAAAAATTTCTAAAGCATATAAAGTATTCTTGAGAAGGAAAACAAGGCTCAGAGAAATTAAGCAAGTTCCTCAAGATTATACAACTTCATCAGTTATCTTTCAATGAAGAAAGCCGCCTTCCCCAAAAGCCAGCCAAATTCTGTGCCCCAAGGCCAAATAATTAGGTATTTTCCTAGTCAGAGTAAAGAACCCAGAATAAGCAAATTAAAAAAGAACGTGGAATGCACAGCCTGCCAAAACCTCAAGGTAAGTGTGGCTAAACATTTTTTCTTTTTCTGGCTTTTCTTTGACTTTTTGGCAGTACTGGGGATTGAATCAGGGCCTCTGAACTGAGCTACATGCCTGGCCCTTATTTATATTTTATTTTGAGATAAGGTCTTGCTAAGTCGCTAAATTGTCCATGCTGGGCTCAAACTATAGATCCACCTGCCTCAGCATCCCAGAGTGCCAGGATTATAGGCATGTGCTACCATTCTTGGCTCTAAACCACTTTCTACAGTGGTATTTTCAACTGCTGAAGCAGACTGAAAAACACCTTTCCTGGGCTACAAGCACTAGCTATCCTCAAGGTAGAAATAAAATTCAATAAACATTATGAAACTGCCTTTGAAAGCATAAGCCAGCAGGTGCCCTGGCCCACTCAGTTTCAAGAATGCTGAACTACAAAGAAACCACAGAAAAACAGCAAGTTCAAAAGCAGGCCAAATCCTTATCTGACTAACTTGGCAACAAATACCTGAGTTCATTCAACATATAATAAACTTTCCTTGGAGTACTGGAAACAATATCCTAAGCACATGGGAAAAGAAGAAAGATACACAGCTCCTACAGTAATCAGTGTAAATAGCTGCATGAGGCAAGGGTCTCCAAATACCCGGGGCACACCCTTATCCAAGCAGGGCAGAGATGGAAAGAAGAGTAAGCAGCTGCGCTTCCCTTGATGGAGCTGACTCCTAAGCACCAAAGAAACTACAAAGCCGAGTAAAGTTGAAGCACATCTCAGCCTCAGACCTGCTGCCAGCAAAATGCGACTCTCAGGAACCTGGTTAAGCATAATGTTACAGCAACTGATCCAAACTCCATGTGGCAACTCTTACCCTTTTTCTCCTAATAGTGCCTAAGTCATACCCAGAATGGCAGATGACACAGTGCTAGGAACCTCCTATCTATACAATGCCCCAAAGGCCAGTGTCCAAAATAGGACTCCAGGGGCTGGGGATTTAGCTCAGCGGCATAATCGCCTGCCTTGCAAGTAGGCAGTTGTGAGTTCGATCCCTGGTACCGATAAAAACGAAAAAGACAAAAAAAAAAAAAAAAAAAAAATAGGACTCCAGTATGCATGAGCTCTGGTAGATCTCATGTGACTTTACCTGCTACACTAAACTCCTCCCAAGGAACTACCACCATGAGGACAAACAGTGTGGCTGACTGCTGAAGGAGTCAAAACAACAAACAGAACAAAACAGCAAATAGAATTTCTAAGAGTTGTGATCTGTTTATACTCTGCACAAGGGACCTAACAGAACAAAGTTACCAACATAAAACCTGGTATCTACTAAGTGAAAGAAACCAGTTGCATACTACCCTCACCATAGTTATCTCAACAGGCAAAGTCCACAAACCGTCTTTAGTTTCCTCAAAGGGCTCCTTCCTCCCTAACCCACTCACAGAAAAAGAGGAAGGTCTAGGATGCAGATAGGAATGACCTATAAAGTTTGGCTTTGCTTGCTGCAAGCCTGGAATCCTGACTCAGCTGAACCCAGGCTCCTAAGAGCTACATGCCAGGGCTAAGTAAATTCCAAGACAAACATAAAACTTCAGAACACAGCCCTGTGTCCCAAGACATGTAGAAGAGCAATAAACTCCTAATATAACAAACTTCCAAGACGCTAAGTTAAACTCCTTAATACAGGCCAAACGCCAAATCTGGACAACGTGGAAAACAGAAAAAGTCTGTCTCTTAGTTGTCTGGAGTGGCTTATTGCCAATTTGGCAGTCTCTGAACCCAGAATACAGCATAAATCTCCTTCCAACACATGAAGCTAGGAACTTCCTTCTTAAACCTGTTTTCCAATCCCGCTTCCAGTAGAAACAAAGAATTCAGAACAGATTTCCCCAAAGAGTGATCTGAAAGAGGCCTACATTAGAAGCTCCTGCTGCAGAAACCTGGGTCTCAACAAAGAAAAAAATATATTAGTATTAGATTGGGGACCAGGGATCTGCATTTTTAACCACCTCCTCTAGCAAGTCCTACACAAACTACCTTTAGGAATTGTGAAACTGCAAAAAGCATGGCTGCTCAGCCAGTGAAGTCACAATCATTTTTCCTCTAAACTGGAATCATGCTTCTGGGACCACCTGGGGTTGGCTGCAGCACTCTGTGACATTTAGATCTTACACTGGTTGACCCAGCTGACACACTGCCAACCAGCCTCACAGGCAGGATGGCTCCATTATAACCACCCCCTGGGTGGCTTCTACTTTTAGGCACACATATTCCCCACACCAGTGGAGGGTGGGTGAAGGAGGAGGCTACCAGCAAACTTTCCTGGTCCAAATTCTTCGAGGATTCCTAGCTATTCTGGCTAAGAATGAAGTCCCACTACAGCAAATGGTGCAAGAAAAGCAACTGATTTCTGGGTCTGCTAGCATCTACCAGGAATTGTCTCCACAGAGGACCAGGGTCACCCTCGAGGACCGGGGAGATGAGAGGGCAGCAGGTCACCCTTGTTTTTACTATCTCAAATTGGGCTAGGTAAGAGATTGAGAAATCACAGGATGCAAGGTCCAAATATAACTTCTCGTCCACGTTCTACCTCGATCGCTCTTGGTAGGCAGCTTCGAGCCGGTGCTAGGCCCTGGGCTCAGACCAGGTCCCCAGGAAACAGGAGAGAAACTTCGCTCGAGACGTGGCCCCAGAGTCGAAGACAGGGCTCAGGGCCTGCAGCCAACTGAGGATGGCACCCAGCACCTTGGGCCCCCGGACCCGCTGCTCGGCGGAGGGGGTCTCACCTCGGCCCACCCGGCCTTCCAAAGGGTCCTTGCGGAAGTGGATCCCGTGCACATCCACATGCGCCTCGCCGCCCGCGTTGACTGCCCAAATGACGCTCTCAGGTAGCCCGGCCCCAGCCGCGCCGACCACACCGAGCCCGGGTTCCAGGAGCGCCGGGAGCAGCAGCAGCAGTAGTCGCAGAAGCGCCACAGCGGCTCCTTCAACCGCCTGGGGACTCAGCATGGCGGCCACCACTGCAGGGACAGCCCCCGCCGACCCTCGTCCTCGGCCGGCCGCCAGGCCGCCCCGGACTCAATCACACAGCGCCACTGGCCGTTTCGCCTCAACCGCCGGGGACATGTCGCTCGCAGGCCCCCTGCTCAGCCACGGGTGCCGCCTCCCACCTAAGGAACAACCTACCCCGCCGTCCAACCCCCGGCCAGGACCCTGCAACCAATCAGCACACGGCCCTCATTAATTACCCACCACCCTGTCGGGATCCTCCATCCCATTGGCCAGTAGGCTCCCAAAGGGGCGTGGCCTATTCCTGGGCCTCCACCCAACCACAGAGCCCGAGATGGAGCGCGCGCAGAGGGAGGGAGTTCGGTTGAATCAGCGGTTAGGTACGGAAGTGGCGGGTGCAGCGCCCAGGCGGCCCCGGAATCCCATAGTTGAATGAGAAAGGTGGCCTGGGGGGAAGGTTTAGGGTAGGGCGCACTGACACGTCGCCAGCACTTCCGGTACTCCAGATTTTTGGGACTGACTAGGCTCTAGAGGGGGCGTTGCTGTCGTTCCCGCCCCCTTTCTTTCTCAGGGAGAGGTATTAGCATAAACTGTAGTAGAAGCAGCAGCGCACACTTTCTCAGTTTAAAGAAATCACCCTTTCCCCCTTCGTGTAAAGTAGAAGACAGCCTTTTCAGAAACGCCACAAGCACAAGTCTTTAGGGCATGAGTCCCACGAGGATAAGGTCCCGCCCCCACCCCTTAGCGTGCTTTGGGCGGGTGGTAGAGTCCAGGTGGCCGTCCAATCACAAGGCTCCAACGCAGCGGAAACGCGTGGCTTTCTGAGGGAGGGGCTCCTGGCTGCCCAAGTTTCCATAGCAACCCCGTGGTCTCAGAGTTCGAGGGGCGGTGGGCTACCGTAATTGCGGGCGGTGACCTGTTTGGAGGCTTGGGGGTACCTGGCCGCCCTCACTGCTCTTGGTAGTTTATCCAGCGTTCTCCTGTTTTGGGCATCCCTATAGTATGGTTTCTGCCCAAATTCTCATTTCGATGAGAAAACTGACTCAGAGAGAAGCTGTTGCCGAAAGGTCTTGGCACGAATTTAAGGCAGAGCCAAGCACTACCCTCCCCCCGCCCCCAAGAAACCACTCGATTAATCATTCGTTCCAGAAATACTTAACCAGGCCCTACTACTAAAATTGTCAGATTAAGAGGTAAAACAGAAAGTCGTGTTGACATTTGAATTTTAGGCAAATAGAACATATACTAATTTTTTTTTCTAAAATTCAAACTTAACCAGACTTCTTGCATTTTACCTTACAACTCTGCCCATTAAGTGATAGACTTCAGTTTAGCGGTGCAGTGACCAAAAATACACCTCGGGTACTAACATGAGAATCAGACTTTGAATGAACAAGTCAAGACCTAATTACTTATTTAGAACAGTGTTAAGTGCTATAAAGGAACAAAACAGTGTCAAAATGGAGGCTAAAGATGAGAAAGTAATAACTTTGGTTGTGTGTATGGGTGTGTGTGTGTGTGTGGGTTTCTGTTGTTGTGTGCTGTGCTGGAAACAACCTAGGGCTGTGGGTGAGCTAGGTATCTCTGACCTGCATCCTCAGCCTCGGGGGGAGCTTTGCATAGATTCCCTCCTCATCCCACTTTTCCCCTGTTGTGTCTCTCCCATGGCACATCTGGGGGCCTACATTGGGTTTTTAATATTTCACTCTCCTCTCTGAAATTGCTGAAATTGTTATAGGAAACTGTCAAATACAGAAGCTTGAATACAAAACAGGGATGCGGTGGAAAAGGGAAACAAAGGCCCAGAAACATGATGAGGCTTCCTTCCTCTTGGCAGGTGGGCTGCAGAGCCTGTGTTCTAGCCACAGATTACACTGTCTACAGGGGCTCCTGTTCATGTTGCTTCCAAGTGAAGGAGAAACAATCACAAAAATGGATTAAAACCTTTGAGGAAGGCCTAACCTTCAGTTTCTTTTGTCCCTCAGATCTTTGCAACACTCATGTGAGCTCTTCAGATTCCATTCCTGCCTGAATGGCCTTACCAAGGAGCTGAGCCCCCTTTTAGAGATCCGGCTGCTCAGGAATTAAGCCATTTCTGCTGGAAAAGTAAATTCTCAGACCCTGGAGACAGAATGAACAGGATCTGAGTCAGGCTGCCAGAGTTCCAAGACCAGTTCTGCCACTTCTTCATTGTGTAGCACTGAGCAAGTTGTTTGTTATGAAATAGAGACAATAATTTTTCCTATTTCAAAGTATAGATTTACAGGAGGAAGAGGAGAAGGAACAGGTGGCAATGCATATAATAAAGTTGTTAGAATTGTTAAATAAATGGACAAACTAAAATGGAGAGCATAGTTTAGATACCCCAGGACTGGTAACCTATAGCCACATAGCCAAAATTTAATTCATTCTGCTTTTTCCCAAAGTGCTAACTCGAAATATGAAAACCATATAAGTTTTTAGTTATCAGCATGATTCAATAGAATTAACCCAATCAGCTACAGACAAGTCACTTTGAACAGCTCTGTTTGCCTTAGGAAGAATATGTGACAGCCAATCTAGAAAAAGGTCAAAATACTTCCTCTCTTGTACTTTATAAACTGGCCTATACCTGCTATAAATGGAGAAGTCTTGCTAGTCTCAGTTTGCAGTCTTCTGATTCATGGACTGCTCTTTTGTAAGCACAATAAGCTCTGAAATTTTTAATTTGATCTGATTTTATTTTTGCTGGTAATACCTGGCACAAGCCAAGTAATCAACCAATTGTTATCCTGAAATGAAAGGATCTCCAGAGTTCTGGCTTTCTGCAATTTGTACCCAACCCACCACCTTATAGTACTGTAGAAGGTTGTTAGAATTATGCTTTTAATGCTATGAATGATCTCATGGCTCCTTTCTTTTTTCCTTTTGTTTGCAGTACTAGAGATTAAATTCATGGCCTTTTGCATGCTAGGCCATGCAAAAGTTACATTGCCAGCCCTTTTTATTTTACATGGACACAGTCTTCTTGAATTGTTCGGACTGGACTTGCATTTTTTGTTTGTTTGTTTGTTTTTGTCTTTTTCCTTTTTATCAGTAAGAGGGATCGAGCTCACGACTGCCTGCTTGCAAGGCAGGCGCTTTATGCCGCTGAGCTAAATCCCCAGCCCCTGGACTTGCATTTTTGATCCTCCTGCCTCAGTCTCCTGAGTAGCTGGGATTACAGATGTTTGTGCAACCATGATCAGCTCCCTCAGGATTCTTGATAAGTAAATCACTAAGGTAATCATTTAACTTCCTTAACCCCTTTCTACTAAAGGTCCCTGTGCCTTCTGAGTGTGACAGTCCTTTTGTAGACTGTACAAAACTGCCATGGGCTAGTGAAAATTTGGTACCATTAACAGGGAATCGCCTGATAAAAGTGTTGGGTCAAAATTCACCAAGCCCTTCCTCCTTCCTTATCGCACACAATTCTTACGCCATTCGAAACCAAACAATTTACTACCCCATTTTATAATTGAGGAAGTTAAAGCCCTGAAGGACAGATCCCAGCAGGTTTTTTTTTTTAATTGGTACCGGGGATCGAACTCACGACTGCCTGCTTGCAAGGCAGGCGCTTATGCCGCTGAGCTAAATCCCCAGCCCCCCAGCAGTTTTCAGATAGCAGGCAATGCTCCTGAAAGCAGAATTGGCACCTATAGAATCCAGTTTCATCAGTCATCTGAGAAAGAGTCTGGCTGGGGAGGGCTGGATAGTCTCCAGAGACAAGAGGTGACTGGAGTGAGGAGTCAAATTTCTAGCAGCTGGGCAAGTTTCAAGTGCAGAACTCAGGCCTGAGATGGAGCAAAGTGCAAAAGATAAAGAGAAACTGGGTATGGTGGCAGACGCTGTAATCCCAGCTCTCAGGAGGCTGAGGTTGGAGGATCTACGTGAATTCTGTGAGTACAAGACCAGCCTGAAGAACAAAGTGAGACTGTCAAAAACAAACAAAAAAGCTGGGAATCTGAGCCCTGGGCAACTGACCTTAGAACACCAATGTGAGGGTGACACAGAACTGGATTCAGTTCTCTCCCAGCCATGTAACTCCCTTTTTCTCTGAGCTTCCTCTCTCCTAAAATGCAAAAGATACCATCTCCCTCACAAGAGATACTTTCTTGGAAAATACAGACAACCTGGAAGGGAACTTTAAAAAGATAAATTTCACTCATTCCATCTAGAACTGAGACAAAGCATCCAGCCAGGTCCTCATAGTAGGTTCATTATTTTAAAAATTTATTTATTTATGTTTGTCTTTTTGAGATAAGATCTCATTATGTGATTCAGGCTGGCCTTGAACTTCCTTCTTAGCCCAAATTGGTCTCAAACTCCCAAAGATCCTCCTACCTCAGCCTCCCTGAGTGCTGGGATTACAGGTGTGAGCCACCACGCCTGGCTTTCCTCGTAGCAGGTTCTTAGCACACGTGTGTTCCCACCCACTTGGCTCTTAGAACACACCAAGAAACGACAGCGCAGGCAATGTCTCCTTTTTGCAGATGAGAAGCTAAAGCTCAGGAGGATTAAGTGATTTGTCTAAATCACACAAAAAAGAACACAAGTCCAGTTTTTATCTTTTGGGGGTGGGCTTTTAATCCACTGGTTTGGTTCTGATCCAAGTTACCTCTCAGATCCAGTTTGCTTTAAATCACAGCTCCACCACATACCACCTTGTGGCTTTGGATAAATAAATTCACCTCTCTGAACCTCAGTTTCCTCCTCTGTGAAGTAAAATGTTGTACATATGTCAAAGGATTGTGAGAAATAAGATGTTTAAACAAGGAAAATAAAGATATTCTGTTTGTTTGTTTTTTTAAAAGCTATCTTCTTGAGACTATTGAGCCCATAGCTAAATGCCAACAAATAGTCTCAGGCCAGATTGGTCAACATCCCTGGATCCTAGCTGGTCCAGAGTCTGAGGCAGTGTTTTGAATTTGAGCCCAGCCTGAGCAACTTAGTGACTTAGGGAGACCCATCTCCCAAAAACAATTTTTTAAGTAAAAATCCATGGATGAAGCTTAGTGCAAAGGCCCTGGATTCAATCTCCAGTAGCACAATAATAATGATCATAGCCAAGTACACCGGTAATTATTCAGGAGGCTGAGGCAGGAGGATCAAAGCTTGACGCCAGCCTGGGCAATTAAGCAAGAATTTGTAA